GAATTGATCATACATGTATGCAAGTAAATATGTAAAAAAAAAAATGTTTCAAACGTTTATAGTGCGATGCCGCAAAATTGTCAAGTATCTGTTAATTAACTCGACATGTCATATCGATGCATGGGTTCAATCAAGTTTTTTTGGAACCTCGTCATTGATCGCCATTACGGAATATATCGAAATAACCGGATGTGTACTAACTTGTCAAGGAAATGCCATTTAACGACATGTCGTGTCAGTTTCTACGGGGTTTGCTTCGTTAAACCAAATAAAAAGAAAGAAAAGAAAACCCCGGGACTGTTTTCTCAAAAAATCCGAAGAGTAAAAATACTCGCAAGTCATGAACATTCAGTTTCAGTTTTTAGTTGCAATCAATTTTAGTCGTAGGATTTTTTATTCATGAGAGGGCCGCTGGCGAAACATGCATTATATATATACGTGCCAGTCAATATAATACCTCAATGGTCTTAATGACCAAGAATGGAAAAAAAAGAGTTTGCCAAAAATTCGAAAATTGCTGTTTGTTCATAATCGTGTCCACATACAAATGTATAAACTTAACATATTCATTACAGATTTAGGGTCAGTATAAATAAAATTTGATTCCCTCAAAATATACAATTAGCATAGTTATCGAGAATATATTCTTATGAATCAGAAAAAATTTGACTTGCGGACATGTCAGACGAGGTTAAATATAGATAAGAAATTTAATAGGTTGTTGTTATTGTATATTGTAAAACCTGGGGTTATGTTTTCGATTATCGTTTATATAAATCATTTATTTATTCAGTGTTGGTGATATGAATACGTGTGTGCATGTGTGTGTGTGTGTTCTTTGGATTAATCTCAGTCTCATAACTCTTTTCATATACATGTTTTTGTTTTATATATATGTATATGAAGTAAGACTCCAATGAAGTATCTGAGTGTCATTTCTTGATTTTGGAGGGCATACATTTTCTAGCTTTATACCTAATAAATGACATATATTATAAAGAAACAGAAATTTACAATTTAATTGAGTTATTGCTGTTTCGTTTTAATACAACATCATACATATCAATATTAAATGATAAATGGAAAATGTCGTTAGCGGGAACATGTTTGAAAAAAATGTAGACTGACACTGGACGTGAATGCGTCCGAAAATTGTCTAATTCTCCTTCTTTTAATTAGCAGTTAAACATTCAATAATTCTTCGCCTAGCCATCTTTGGAGTTATTTTGTTACTCACTGAAAATACTTTTAAATTTTTCAGAAGCTGATAATACACTCTCATACTGTGGCCAACCTAAGACATGGGTGGAAGCCAAAGTATTTTGTGAACAGAAGGGTGGACGTCTACTGAACAGAGGTACAGATAACGATGCTTTGTTCCTACAGAGAACCGACATACCCCCTCAACAAGAGATTTGGATAGGTCATTACAGAGGACTTTCTGGGTGGATAGAACACATAGGTAAGTGCAATAGGTTTACATTAAGTATGCCTTATTTGATAGCAAATCAAGGCTTTGTTGAAATTTGCACCCGTATATTGGAGCTATTGGTTATCAACGGAAAGCAAACTGATATAGTTGACATGGAATCTAGGCATTATCAAAGAAAAACAAGGGATATTGGGTATCAATCCATGACACAATGCATACAAATATTAAAGTATAATGAGAATCACAAAAATAAAATATGTAACCATGGTAATTTAACTTTTTAAAATATTGCTGCAATATCAATAATTTTTGGTTAAAACTGTATTACATTGAAAAATGGTAACCCGTTTATTTTATTTTTACTTAGGATTATTTCAATTTACATACTCTACTTCTTTCTGAAACCTTCTCCATAATATTGTGTCATCTCTCTGGCTCTTTTTAATGAAATGCCTTAAAAAAACTCTTAGACAAGAAACCACTATATTTATGATTAAAAGGAAAATTAGAGTATATTCGCAGTTATAAAAGTTATAAAAGCATGCATCTCAAAAACATTCTCTCTGTTTTAAATTCTACACCATTTATACACAATCCTCAAAAATGGTCGGGGTCATAGCTGTCTATGCGGTATGGGTTTCGCTCATTGTTGAAGGCCGTATGGTGACCTATAGTTGTTAACTTCTATGCCATTTGGTGTTTCGTGGAGAGTTGTCTCATTGGCAATTATACCACATCTTCTTATTTTTATACTTAATATGTTTAACTGTCATTTGTTCCATGTTTGACTAGTGTACAGATTATAGACTATAAACTAATAAGTGTAAATTCCATTTATAGCTTTTGTGATGCTGTGCTTATACCTTATAAGTTTTTAAGTAATTTTGATGGATTGCGCGGGTTTTTTTCTAGGTTTCATTTATAAAGTTTGAATTTCAACATCAATCATCCTTAATTCAGGAAATTATTTACTAGGTATTCATTAGAATTGTGTGTATATCTTACATATTATACAATTAAAGAGTTGTTATCCTACTCAGATTGGGCCCGTGGCTTGTACATTGTATATATACAACAGTTAAAATACAAGTGACATTCTATGAGAGACTTTAGAAATTTCCGTAAATCATGATTATATATTTATTATGTCTATAAAACATTTCAGTTCTGTAAAAGCATAAGTATCAATCAAGCTTATAAAAACTATTTCATCTACTGAAAGTACTAAAGCAGGTCTTTGTAATCACACCGTAACAATTACTTTTAAAAAGGTATGTAGGCTTATCATCATCAGATAAAATATTAAAATCAACATTACTTCTTTTAACTACATGTAATAAACTTTCACGCAAATCTGCATTGAAAGGACATTCTAATAAAACATGTTTCTCATCTCCAATCTTATCATTACATAAAAAGCAAACTCTAACATTTAAAGTTTTGTTTTCATAACGACATGTTTCTTATCGCAAAGGAGCGACACCACACCTAAATTTAGCAAATGCACTTCTGTATCGTCTAGAACTGTCCTTACTAAAATACATCTCTGTTTCAAAAACATCTTTTAACAATTTATAACATTGTATTTTTTTCAACATTTTTGACAAAATTCTATTATGCCAATTTACCTTATATTTATCAATAAAAAATCTTCTAACTGTGTAATAACATTTATATGCAAAACATTCTCTAAATCTAACATCTATTATACTAACCGTTTTAAGAATTCTGTGATAACTACATTATATATTAAGGTTTACGAAGAGCTGTTGCCAAGGAATGTCTAGCCCGAAAATCGTTTGTTGGTGTGGTTCATAAGTGTTTCTCGTTTCTCGTTTTTTTTTATATAGATTAGACCGTTGGTTTTCCTGTTTGAATGATTTTACACTAGTCATTTTGGGGACCCTTTATAGCTTGCTGTTCGGTGTGAGCCAAGGCTCCGTGTTGAAGGCCGTACTTGGTATACTACTGTTGCCTTTATTTGACATATAATGGTTTACTTTTACAAATTGTAACTTGGATGGAGAGTTGTCTCATTGGCACAATACAATAGAATTTAGCTATGAGCATTTTTGGAAATTAATTGACAAGTTGATGCTGACCTGATTTCTCCCTCGTTTTTGGTGGGGTTCGTGTTGCTCAGTCTCTGATTTTCTATGTTGTGCTTTGTATTCTTTTGTTTGTCTTTTGGTCGTTTTTCGTATTTTGCCATGGCGTTGTCGGTTTGTCATTGACTAGTGAGTTTGAATATCCCTTTGGTATCCTCCGCCTCTCTTTTATTTAAAGATGACAATGTTTGCGATGGGAATCCTTATATTAGTAAATGTCGATAAAATAAAATTGATAAGATATCTAGCATGTGTTAAGTTTATAATGGTTCCCTTTTGCAAATTTAAAGTAACTGTCGATAAACTAAAACTACAACGACAATGACGTAGACTGAGGGACAACGACAATGACGTAGACTGAGGGATAGTCATCTACAGGCAGGCAATACATAAGGAATATTTTTTTCTTTCATTCTTAACCTGAAATTTATGCTACACTGTTAAGTATGTGTCGGTGTACTTCACTGTTTTGTATATGTCTGTGTACTTCACTGTTTAGTATGTGTCGGTGTACTGCACTGTTAAGTATGTGTCGGTGTACTACACTGTTTAGTATGTGTCGGTGTACTTCACTGTTTAGTATGTGTCGGTGTACTTCACTGTTAAGTATGTGTCGATGCACTACACTGTTTAGTATGTGTCGGTGTACTTCACTGTTAAGTATGTGTCTGTGTACTACACTGTTAAGTATGTGTCTGTGTAATACACTGTTTAATATGTGTTTGTGTACTACACTGTTTAGTATGTGTCGGTGTACTTCACTTTTTAGTATGTGTCTGTGTACTACACTGTTTAGTATGTGTCTGTGTACTACACTGTTAAGTATGTGTCTGTGTACTACACTGTTTAGTATGGGTCTGTGTACTACACTGTTAAGTATGTGTCTGTGTACTACACTGTTTAGTATGGGTCTGTGTACTACACTGTTAAGTATGTGTCTGTGTACTACACTGTTTAGTATGTGTCTGTGTACTACACTGTTTAGTATGTGTCTGTGTACTACACTGTTAAGTATGTGTCTGTGTACTACACTATTTAGTATGTGTCGGTGTACTACACTGTTAAGTATGTGTCTGTGTACTACACTATTTAGTATGTGTCGGTGTACTTAACTGTTTAGTATGTGCCGGTGTACTTCACTGTTTAGTATGTGTCGGTGAACCTCACTGCTTAGTATGTGTCGGTGTACTTCACTGTTTAGTATGTGTATGTGTACTACACTGTTTAGTAAGTGTCGTTATGCTACACTGTTTAGTATGTGTAGTTATTCTACACTGTTTAGTATGTGTCAGTATACTACACTTCCAATTTTCGTTTTTAGGATGTTTCAGCCAGAGATCTTTAGGTGTAAGCTGGTATGGTATACAGACAGATAACAACTCAGCGGCAATTTGTCAAACTATCTGCAATGCTACGGATTACTTTGCACTTCAGGTAATAGAAGAATTTGCCAAACTATCTGCAATGCTACGGATTACTTTGCACTTCAGGTAATAGAAGAATTTGTCAAACTATCTGCAATGCTACGGATTACTTCGCACTTCAGGTAATAGAAGAATTTGTCAAACTATTTGCAATGCTACGGATTACTTCGCACTTCTGGTTATAGAAGAATTTGTCAAACTATCTGCAATGCTACGGATTACTTTGCACTTCAGGTAATAGGATAATTTGTCAAACTATGCTACAAATCGTTCACAGTTTATGACCAAGCTAAGTAAAGACCCGTCTAAATTGCGTTTAATTGATAGATTCCACAACACTTACCTACCGTTATCTTGATGATATTATTTCGTTAGATAATCAAGAATTTTCTAAATATACTGCTGAAATTTACCCAAAGGAACTTACTTTAAATAAATCAAATGTAAACGCTAATAACTGTCCTTTCCTAGATTTAGACATTTCAGTTTTACACGTTAAGCTCCACACTAAAATTTACGACAAAAGGGACGATTTTCGTTCCCTATTGTTAATTTTCCTTTTTCGGATAGTGATGTTCCTTTGGCACCATCTTACTGTGTTTATATTTCACAACTCGTTCGCTATGCCCGTGTCTGTTGTGACGTTTTAGATTTTAACGAACGCAATCTATGTATTACTGGTAAATTATTAAGTCAAGGATTTCGTTACCACAAATTACTTGAAACTTTTACTAAATTCTAATTTCAAACGGGATAGCACATCCTCATTTTTACGAAGTTGTTGTTTACCGTGCCTGGAAATTTAGAAACGATCCTGGTAAACTTATCGATCCTTTAAATAAACTTATTCTAAAAGGTTACCAATTCAACACTGTCATTAGATCTTTGAATGTTATTTTTATTGGTATTAATATTGATTTTGTTATCAGTAAATTAAAAGCAAACTAAATATTATTGTTATATACATATGCACAAGGTCATGTTTTTCTCTGACTGTTTATGACGTCTTTACACTAAATCCATTGGATGTTGGATGTGTACTGATTGATAATTTAGTCTTAAATGCATGATTTTTTATATTAGTTGTTATTGGCTTTGAACTAGCTGTCAGTAACTGCTTGTACTCTCAGATCTGTACTTAGTGACTTTTGTAATCGGGATGTACAAGTACCCGGTCACGTCCACGTGTTTTTGTTATATGTATTTCTATTTGTATCCGTCTGATGAGTTAAGCCTTTTTCAACTGATTTTTATAGGTCGTTCTTATGTTGTACTGTTACACCACTGTCGCAGGTTAGGGGAGGGTTGGGATCCCGCTAACATGTTTAACCCCGCCACATTCTGTATGTATTTGTCTGTCCCAAGTCAGGAGCCTGTAATTCAGTGGTCGTTTGTTGCTGTGTTACATATTTGTTTTTCGTTCATTTTTTTGTACATTAATTAGGCTTTAGTTTTTTCGTTTGAATTGTTTTATATTTGTGATTTCGGGGCCTTTTATAGCTGACTATGCGGTATGGGCTTTGCTCATAGTTGAAGGCCGTACGTTGACCTATAGCTGTTAATTTCTTTTTCTTTTGGTCTCTTGTGGAGAGTTGTCTCATTGGCAATCATACCATATCTTCTTTTTTATATTTATATATTGTGACCTATTATTGTCTTGCTGTGTGTTTGATAGTTTGATGTGTTCCCCGAAGTATTGGCCGATTTAGACAGTTATTTAATAGTATGTTATATTGGTTTGAATTGTACCGCCTTGTATTATCAATGACTATCAGAGAGAACCGACTAAGGGCACCACCATGTTCTTGTAAGAAATCACGAGTTCATCTGAATACATTGAAGACCTTCTAGCATCGCACATGATGACAAGCAGTAACTAAGACTTTGATATCTGGTCCTTTTCAAACATATCATGAGTATTTTGTCTCGTATATTTCTTCGTTTAAGTTTATATTTGCCACTGGACGTTAAGCAACCAACAATCGATCATTCGTTTAAGTTGGATGTGTACTGATTGATATTTTTGTCTTAGATACATGAATTTGTTATTAGTTGTTATTGTCTTTTAACTAACTGTCAGTAACTGCCAGTACTCTCAGATCTGTACTTTGTGTCTTTTTTATGTGAGGAATGAATAAATACTCTGCCACGTCCGGTCTGTGTTTTTGTTAGATGTTTTTCTGCTTTGTATCGATCTGATGTGTTAAGCCCTTTTCAACTGATATTTTTTGTTTTTCTTATGTTGAACTGTTACACCACTGACCCAGGTTAGGGGAGGGCAGGCGCCCACAAACATGTTAAACCCCGCCACATTCTATATGTGCCTGTCCCAAGCCAGAAGCCTGTAATTGAGTGGTTGTCGTTTTATACTATTGGCATATTTGTTATTCGTTTATTGTTTTGCATAGTTTGTTCTTGTGTTGTGCTGTTACACTACCGTCCCAATTTCGTGGAGGGTTGGCGCCTTCAAAAATAACCCCGCCACATTTTTTATGTGCCTGTCCCAAGTCAGGGACATGCAGTTCAGTGGTTGTCGTTGGTTCATGTCTGTTATATTTGTTTTTTCGTATATGTTTTTTCTCAATTGAATTGTTTCATATTTTTCATGTCTGGGCCTTTTATAGCAGACTATACGATATGAGTTTTTCTCATTGTTGAAGGCCGTACGATTGGCTATAATGGCTTACATCCACTTCATTTGGACTTTGGTGGATATATAGTTGTCTCATTGGCAATCATTTGAATTTATTTTCAGGGATCAACTTGTTTATGCAGTTATAATAATTTTGTGAACACATCTTGGTTAACACCGGAGTCAAAATGTAACACTGTTTGTCCTGGTAATGGAACTGAGCAATGTGGTGGGAGTAACAGTATAAACGTCTACCATAGAGGTAAGATCAAAATAACTAATGTCTACCACAGTGCTGAGTGAAATAGCATGTGGGAGGAAAAACAGGAGATAGTTATTTACTATTGGTCAAATGAACGAAATTTAGTATCACCAAAACATATACTAGATAGGATTGTGTATGTGTGTGTTTTGTGTTGTAGATTCATTAACATACATTTCATATAGCTTTCATGTTCTATCAACTTTCTAAAATGGTACTGCGTATATCATCAGATGCCTACATATATTAACTTCCTCAAATTTAAGTAGCATGTCACATTTTAACTGAGATCAAAGCGGAACAAATATTATTTTTTTTCTGATTTTAGATAGATATACGTTAATAGCGAATATAAAGAAAATATTGAGTACAACTAAACTCCTACCTCACCTTTTTTTTCATTCCGACAAGTAAATGACTCAGGCAGAAACTTAATGTTGGTTATTGCTGTTTATTATTTAAGTTCATGGTGACCTTATACAGTACCCAGCCGACTCTTACCCCAATTTACACTGTGCAATGATGAACTGCAGTAGTAGTACCGAATGGACATATTTTGAACACGAGTGTCACAACAACTTAACGGCATTATGTGGTGAGTTTGTTCCTTGGGCATGTTTAACTTGTTGTTATGCTGTGAAACTCTTTAATAATTGGCAATAAGATAGTGTTGAGAACGACCTTTTTATTTTTTTTTTATTTTAAAGTTTAAAGATGGCTAACATATGTAATATTTAGTCTTCTTTAAGAAAAAAAAATCCTGGAGCTTTACATCTAGAAACAGCAATAAAAGCAAAAAGAGAGTGATCACACATTTAGTACTGAGATACACTATGTGTTGAGACAAAACAAAATAATCTACCTAGAGTAAGTAGTTGAACTCTGCAAAACGCTTCCTCAACAGTAAAAAACAGCAATTAAAGCAAAAAAGAGAGTGGTCACACATGCAGTATTGAGCTGGGTTTTTTAATTTTTTTATCATCAAAATCATACATATGCTAAAAAGAATGATTATGAATAGAAATAAGAAGAATGCTTATCAATATAATAACGTGTAATTTTATGATAATTACGCTGCAGCGGCTCTTTTCACAAAAAATCTTAAGAGTAAAAATACTCGTAAGTCATACACATTTCAGTATAACTTACGATCAATTTTAATCGTAAGATTTTTTGTGAAAAGAGTCGCAGATAAATAAGACTTTGTTTTTGCAAGTCCCAAATATTTACAATCATTATTCTGACTATCGCAATTCAGCATCTTTAGCATATAGGCCTGCATTCATGTCTTAGTACATGCAATCTGATTTTTTTACAGAATAATGCAAAGTATCACAAGATAATTTGATTATGTAAAATTAATATATATTGGCAGATTAAATGTTTTTAGCATGCTGCCAATAACTGCGTATATTTTTAGTTCTGTATTATCAAGTATTGATGAATAAAAAGGGAAGTGGGTATACTTTTATCTGTGATTTTCATGTCGGTAATACATATAGCAAATGGTTTAGATTAAATGCAATTGCTGAGCTTATTTTATTTTACGGTCTTAATATGTGCTCCACTTTTTATTATTAACTTTGAACACTTGTTACACAGATGGAAATGAAAAATGAGGTCGGTTGGTGTCGAAAGAAAAACATGTTGTATGGTCACCAATGACACAACTATCTTAAAATACAAAAGTGCCAGGGTGTGAACAACTGCATGTTAAACTCGCAACACGTGCCTGTATGTGAGTGTAGTCATGAGCCTCCATAGTGTTTGATTTTGTTTACATATCTAACCATTACACACATTCTTGTTATGCCATGTCTTTGGTTGTCTCTGTTAAACAGAGCGAGACAGGCCATATATTGACTTTTATGATTTCGGTATTGCAAGATTGTGTATCATTACATTACTTATAATATAAATTTATTCGGAAAATAAAATTTTTTAAGTATTTTTGTATCTAGAACAACAGATTTAGACAAGAGTAGCTATAATGAAAATATAATCCTGTAACATTTTGTAAGTTATGATCATTTCATCGGACATGGCTGTCTATTGTGTGACATAGTGAAAAGGTTGTCAATATTAGGAAAAATAACAAGCTGTTTTCATTTTAAGGATCGGGAGTCTTAGTAAATAAACCAGAGACATGGCTGACAGCTCAGGCATTCTGTAAAAACTATGGTTCTTTGGTTGGCATACACAACATGGTATCTAACTGTGCTGTTTCTAATGACGTTAAGCGGGAATTCTGGATTGGAGTTTATCGAAATTATGTCGATCTTGTTTTAAAAGGTAAATACTTGGTAAAGAATTATAGGGCTTGATTTTTTTATTTTGTCGTACAATTGCTTTGCTTTCAATCACCAGTTCATTAAACGTTTAACTTTTTTTCTTTCTTATTATTTGATTATAAGATCTATCTTAAATGCAGATTTATGCATTCATTCAAATTGTAAAGTTTTGAGATTTAATTCAATGGTATGCACTATTTATTAACATTGAACTTGGAATATTGGATGTCCGTTTGTTCGTGCGTCAGTTGACTTTTTATAATAACGATTTTGGGATTTTGTTTAGCAACTAATGTTTGTCTTTTAATGACTTATGACTTTTCGCTTTAGTATGTAGAAAATATATTTCATTCTATGAATGTTATCTAAAAGTAAGGTAGTCTAATACATATATGTTCAAGTGTTTTAGTAAGAAATAAATATCAATCTCATTTTAGATCTTACAGTTCAAAATCCAGTGTTTGGATGTTATTCACTTAGAAAAGAGTCCAGCAATGCCAGACCTACCATGACATATTATCCAATATCAATATGTGAAAAACAAAATATGTTTTCATTTATTTGTGAACTGCGTAAGTTTGTAATATACACATATGTTTTATTTCTGAAATTTCTCGAACTTTAACATAAGTCCTGTGCTATCCTTTACCGTCTAACTTCTGAAAACCAGATTAATTAATTAAGTTTCAAGCATAGGACCTCTCCGTTAACATCGATAGAGAACAACACCATCCTTACATAAGAAAAAAGTACATGCCCAACAACATACACTTTTGTCTTATTTAGAAAAAAGAATAAAAGGCCAGCAACATAGTTACACCTCTTTGAAAAAAGTACACGAATAACAACATACACTCTTGTCTAATTAAAAAAGGCATAAAAGGCCAGCACCTTTGAAAAAGTAAAAATATCAACATTATAGTTGCACAGATGTGAAAGAAATTGCTGGAAATTCTGTGAGAATAATATTAATATTCAAAAACGTATTTATTTACATATATAACATGTGACACATGTGAAATGCATCCAACATGAAACAAAGTACTAAGTTGAAATTATCGATTGTGGTACAAAACAAAATATAAAATGTCCCCCTAGCATGAAATTTACGTTCAAATGCATTCATTTGAGAAAGTCACAGTTAAAAGCTAACTGAAGCTTCACAGCGAGAAGAAGAGAGAATGCTTGGATCCATCTAAAAGCTTACTTGATATTCACAACGAGAATGAGAGTGAACGTTTGGATCATCAACTAAGTATATTAGAACATAATAGTCTGAATCGGGGGTCGAGTTTTTTCTCGTGAAAGGGGAAAGGGGGGGGGGGGGGAAGCGTTACATGTTCAAATAAGTTATTAAGTTATGGTTCTCGATTTCAATTAGAGGTTGCACAATAAGCTTTCGAAACCACTAGTATAGTACCATTGTAAAATTACTGGGAACTACTAAATCATTGGCATGTGTCTGCCTATGCAAAATTATAACGAAATACCAAAACATTTTTCGTTTGTTGCTATAAAACATCAGCTACATTTTAAACTGAAAAGTCGCAAGGTAACTGTTCCCTGAAATAATAAGATTATGTTGGTTATCATACTTATTCTAAATATTTTATATACGTCATTCAACTTACTGTGGTTAGTGTTTTCTATTTATATAAGTATAATTTAGTTTTGGATGTAACGCGTCTTCCGATTGGCTGACGTTGTTTTGTTTATCAGCTCATAGACATAATTTTGTCATGTGACCGCGACGTCATCAACGTTTTTTCATGATTTACTCCGGTTTAAAATGGAATTAAGAATTAAATTATAAGAAATGACTGTAATATTTTTTCTGTCTATTCGAAATAACATAAAAACTGTGGTGCACACTTTAAAACAACCCGCTACGCGGGTTATTCAGTGTGCACCACATTTTTTATGTTATTTCTTCATAGACAGAAAAAATATTACAGTCATTCGTGAAACATTTATAAAAAATATATAGGTACAAATATGCAACATAACTGTATAATTCCAAAATTGTTAATTCTCCCGGTAACATAACGCCATACAATAATATTACAGCTCCTGGATATCCAACATCAGATGGTTGTTATCTACCTCCTTCTATACCGTAACATAACGTCATAAATCAACATTACAGCTCCTGGATATCCAGCATCAGATGGTTGTTATCTACCTCCTTCTATATCGTAACATAACGTCATAAATCAACATTACAGCTCCTGGATATCCAGCATCAGATGGTTGTTATCTACCTCCTTCTATATCGTAACATAACGTCATACATTAACATTAGAGCCCCTGGATATCCGACATCAGATGGTTGTTATCTACCTCCTTCTTTATCGTAACATTACGTCATACATTAACATTACAGCTCCTGCATATCCGACATCAGATGGTTGTTATCTACCTCCTTCTATATCGTAACATAACGTCATACATTAACATAACAGCTCCTTGATATCCAACATCAGATAGTTGTTATCGACCTCCTTCTATATCGTAACATAACGTCATACATTAACATTACAGCTCCTGGATATCCGACATCAGATGGTTGTTATCTACCTCCTTCTATATCGTAACATAACGTCATACATTAACATTACAGCTCCTGGATATCCAACATCTGATGGTTGTTATCTACCTCCTTCTATATCGTAACATAACGTCATACATTAACATTATAGCTCCTCGATATCCAACATCAGATGGTTGTTATCTACCTTCCTCTATATCGTAACATAACGTTATACATTAACATTACAGCCCCTGGATATCCAACATCTGATAGTTGTTATCTACCTCCTTCTATATCGTAACATAACGTCATACATTAACATTACAGCCCTTGGACATCCGACATCAGATGGTTGTTATCTATCTCCACATCATATTGTTGTTATTTACCTCCTTCTATATCGTAACATAACGTCATACATTAACATTACAGCTCCTGGATATCCAACATCTGATGGTTGTTATCTACCTCCTACTTTATCGTAACAGTACGTCATACATTAACATTACAGCTCCTGGATATCCAACATCTGATGGTTGTTATCTACCTCCTACTTTTTGTAACATAACGTCATACATAAACATTACAGCCCTTGGATATCCGACATCAGATGGTTGTTATCTACCTCCACATCAGGTTGTTGTTATTTACCTCCTTCTATATCGTAACATAACGTCATACATTAACATTACAGCTCCTGGATATCAAACATCTGATGGTTGTTATCTACTTCCTTCTATACCGTAACATGACGTCATAAATTAACATTACAGCTCCTGGATACCCAGCATCAGATGGTTGTTATCTACCTCCTTCTATATCGTAACATAACGTCATACATTAACATTACAGCTCCTGGATATCCAGCATCAGATGATTGTTATCTACCTCCTTCAGTATCGTAACATAACGTCATATATTAACATAACAGCTCATTGATATCCAACATCAGATGGTTCTTATCTACCTCCTTCTATATCGTAACATAACGTCATACATTAACATTACAGCTCCTGGATATCCAACATCAGATGGTTGTAATCTACCTTCCTCTATATCGTAACATAACGTAATACATTAACATTACAGCCCCTGGATATCCAACATCTGAAAGTTGTTATCTACCTCCTTCTTTATCGTAACATAATGTCATACATTAACATTACAGCCCCTGGATATCACACATCAGATGGTTATTACCCACCTCCTTCTATTTCGTAACATAACGTCATACATTCACATTACAGCCCTTGGATATCCGACATCAGATGGTTGTTATCTACCTCCACATCAGATTTTTGTTATTTACCTCCTTCTATATCGTAACATAACGTCATACATTAACATTACAGCTCCTAGATATCCAACATCTGATGGTTGTTATCTACCTCCTACTTTATCGTAACATTACTTCATACATTAACATTACAGCTCCTGGATATCCAACATCAGATAGTTGTTATCTACCTCCTTGTATATCGTAACATAACGTCATACATTAACATAACAGCTCCTGGATATCCAACATCAGATGGTTGTTATCGACCTCCTTATATATCGTAACATAACGTCATACATTAACATTACAGCTCCTGGATATCCAACATCTGATAGTTGTTATCTACCTCCTACTATATCGTAACATAACGTCATACATTAACATTACAGCTCCTGGGTATCCGACATCAGATGGTTGTTATCTACCTCCTTCTATATCGTAACATAACGTCATACTTTAACATTACAGCCCCTGGATATCCGACATCTGATGGTTGTTATCTACCTCCTTCTATATCGTAACATAACGTCATACTTTAACATTACAGCTCCTGGATATCCGACATCTGATGGTTGTTATCTACCTCCTACTATATCGTAACATAACGTCATACATTAACATTACAGCCCCTGGATATCCAACATCAGATGGTTGTTATCTACCTTCTTCTTTATCGTAACATAACGTCATACATTATCATTACAGCCCATGGATATCCAAAATCTGATGGTTGTTATCTACCTCCTTCTATATCGTAACATAACGTCATACATTAACATTACAGCCCCTGGATATCCAACATCTGATGGTTGTTATCTACCTCCTTCTATATCGTAACATAACATTATATATTAACATTACAGCTCCTGGATATCCAACATCAGATAGTTGTTATCTACCTCCTTGTATATCGTAACATAAAGTCATACATTAACATTACAGCTCCTTGATATCCAACATCTGATGGTTGTTATCTACCTCCTACTATGTCGTAACATAACGTCATACATTAACATTACAGCTCCTGGGTATCCGACATCAGATGGTTGTTATCTACCTCCTTCTATATCGTAACATAACGTCATACTTTAACATTACAGTCCCTGGATATCCGACATCTGATGGTTGTTATCTACCTCCTTCTATATCGTAACATAGCGTCATACTTTAACATTACAGCTCCTGGGTATCCAACATCAGATGGTTGTTATCTACCTCCTTCAGTATCGTAACATAACGTCATACTTTAACATTACAGCCCCTGGATATCCAATATCTGATGGTTGTTATCTACCTCCTACTATGTCGTAACATAACGTCATACATTAACATTACAGCTCCTGGGTATCCGACATCAGATGGTTGTTATCTACCTCCTTCTATATCGTAACATAACGTCATACTTTAACATTACAGCCCCTGGATATCCGACATCTGATGGTTGTTATCTACCTCCTTCTATATCGTAACATAGCGTCATACTTTAACATTACAGCTCCTGGATATCCAACATCAGATGGTTGTTATCTACCTCCTTCAGTATCGTAACATAACGTCATACTTTAACATTACAGCCCCTGGATATCCAACATCTGATGGTTGTTATCTACCTCCTACTATGTCGTAACATAACGTCATACATTAACATTACAGCTCCTGGGTATCCGACATCAGATGGTTGTTATCTACCTCCTTCTATATCGTAACATAACGTCATACTTTAACATTACAGCCCCTGGATATCCGACATCTGATGGTTGTTATCTACCTCCTTCTATATCGTAACATAGCGTCATACTTTAACATTACAGCTCCTGGGTATCCAACATCAGATGGTTGTTATCTTCCTCCTTCTATATCGTAACATTACGTCATACATTATACAATTATGGCCCGTTGAAAAGGTAAATATCCAAAATTGTCAACACGAGAAGGTTATTTTACTGAGGGCGCAGCCCGAAGTGAAATAACTTTTAAGGGTTGACAATTTTGAATTTTGGATATTCATCGCTTCTAAGGGGCCACAATTGTTTTATTATACCGAACTAACAATGGAAGGGCATTTTGAATCATTGTAAAAGCACTTACCCTTACTTGAGTCAGTAGCAAACACAAGTTGCCGTTCAAAAATACATATAATTTGTGTCTTAGAATTCTCGTATGTACAACAAAGGTAGATTATTTTTGTAAAATATTGATGTTTGAAAAGGACCGTTATTAGAGATATCATCGGCACAAGATTCACATCAAAAGCCTTATTTCCTCTTCTCTCGATCAATAGGCTTCCTGTAACTTGAACGTTGCCATTTTGTTTATTTACGTCTGTGACGTCATTTTCATGGGTACAAATCAACAAACTAAAAAGGTTATTCGCCGGTGATTAATAGGGTTATTCAACGCTGGTGTAAATTTTTAGGGTTATTCGTTTTTCCTTGCAATTGAATGAAAATTAACTGAATTGTTCCATGTCACGTGATAACATTTTACCGAATAGAATTGTTTGAAATATATGTAAGGTATAATAATAACATTACAGCCCCTGGATATCCGACATCAGATGGTTGTTATCTACCTCCTTCTATATCGTAACATAACGTCATACATTAACATTACAGCTCCTGGATATCCAACATCAGATGGTTGTTATCTACCTCCTTCTATATCGTAACATAACGTCATACATTAACATTACAGCCCCTGGATATCCGACATCAGATGGTTGTTATCTACCTCCTTCTATATCGTAACATAACGTCATACATTAACATTACAGCTCCTGGATATCCAACATCAGATGGTTGTTATCTACCTCCTTCTATATCGTAACATAACATCATACATTAACATTAGAGCCCCTGGATATCCGGCATCAGATGGTTGTTATCTACCTCCTTCTATATCGTAACATAACGTCATACATAAACATTACAGCTCCTGGATATCCAACATCTGATGGTTGTTATCTACCTCCTTCTATATCGCAACATTACGTCATACATTAACATTACAGCCCCTGGATATCCAACATCAGATGGTTGTTATCTACCATCTTCTATATCGTAACATAACGTCATACATTAACATTACAGCTCCTGGATATCCAACATCTGATGGTTGTTATCTACCTCCTTCTATATCGTAACATTACGTCATACATTAACATTACAGCCCCTGGATATCCAACATCAGATGGTTGTTATCTACCTTCTTCTATATCGTAACATAACGTCATACATTATCATTACAGCCCCTGGATATCCAAAATCTGATGGTTGTTATCTACCTCCTACTATATCGTAACATAACGTCATACATTAACATTACAGCTCCTGGATATCCAACATCTGATGGTTGTTATCTACCTCCTTCTATATCGTAACATAACGTCATACATTAACATTACAGCCCTGGATATCTGACATCAGATGGTTGTTATCTTCCTCCTTCTATATCGTAAAATAACGTCATACATTAACATTACAGCTCCTGGATATCCAACATCAGATTGTTGTTATCTACCTCCTTCTATATCGTAACATTACGTCATACATTAAAATTACAGCCCCTGGATATCCAACATCAGATGGTTGTTATCTACCTTCTTCTATATCGTAACATAACGTCATACATTATCATTACAGCCCCTGGATATCCAACATCTGATAGTTGTTATCTACCTCCTTCTATATCGTAACATAACGTCATACATTAACATTACAGCTCCTGGATATCCAACATCTGATGGTTGTTATCTACCTCCTACCACATCAACAAGTACAACCACACAAGGAACTCAATTAATACAAGAACAAGATGACGAGGGACTTAAAATTGGTAATATTTTTGTACAGACATATTTTGGTTGCAGAATGTAAAATAAATAATTGTTGTGGTGATTGTACATTGTTTGCTCCAGAAAGTTTCTGCTACTTTAAAATCATTAGAACATCAACTACATGTATATCTTTACTAGCGACATGCATGAACTCCTCAATAATGATATCTCAACTTATTCATTGATTTATAAATGATGATAGTCAATTAAACTTGTAGTATTATATTAAAAAGACGTCCTTGGAGCAATTTTAAATGTATGTACGCAGTAAAATTAAACACTAGTATATTATTTTCATTGCGTTTTAAAAATAAGGGGGGAAAACGCACAATTTGCAGTAGCTGTTATAAATATTGTCTGGTGGTCTTCAAGCAGTTACATAAAACAATAATAAAGGATTTACTTAAAATAATTTTCGCTTTCATATTATTTCAGTACACTTTATACTAGATTGCCTACGTTCTAATTTGCCTTTTATCTGTTTAAAACTGTTGGTTTACTTTATTCCAGGATTGTTTATAGCATTAGGAATTGTTTTACTGGCTACAGTTATCGTCATATTAATATTAATTGCAAGAAAAAGGTGAGTAATAGCAGCACTAGTTATACTTATAATAGAAGCATCGACTTTCATTTAGAAGTAGAAATTATACTGAATATAAGTTGAAAGTTTTAAATCATTGTTGTATAAAGTGTAAGCATAGTTTATTAAAAAAATTGGTTATGAATAACTACAAAAATAAGTAAATACGAAATATGCAAGTAATTGAAAAACTTAATTAGGAAACAAGAGCAGTGCTCTTATATGAATCCATCTCTCTTAGTTCAGAGATGGATGGAGTTATTCATAACGAATTTTTTAATAAACTATGTTTACACTTTATAAACATAGTTTATTACCCATCTCTCTTAGTTCAGGGGCCTCGGTGGACGAGTGGTCTAAGTAGTCCAACTACTGTATCACTAAATAGTCAACACTGAGGTTGTGAGTTCGAATCCCGCACGGGGCAAGTGCACTCGACTCTAATCTTAATTGACTAGGATTGTCAGTTTTCCTACCGAAGATCGGTGGTTCTCTCCGGACACTCCGGCTTCCTCCACCAAACAAAAATTGACCGCCACGAAATAGCACAATAGTGTTGAAAGTGGTGTCAAAACACCAATCAATCAATCAATCAATCAATCAATCTCATAGTTCAAATATAAAATTACAAATCTATATTTACATGCTGAATGGCAAACGAACAAATATGAAACAAAATACATTTAATATATATTATACACTAAATAAAGTTCATTAATGGATATAATAACTTTTGTTAAACATAACTTTACTTACAGTTTTTGGGGAAAATATTCTCTTAGAATTAACGACGACTACAATTGTTAGAAATTAAATAATGAGATGTCGAATTACAGTTTTAGATCAAATCCAGAACAACTTAGGCAAAATATTTTATTAGCTGCACTAGCCAATGTCAAATTACGAAGACGAGATAGAGATGGTAACCCTGAGTTGTCAACACCACAGAATGCCGAAACATCTGCTGCATCCGTTGAAGGTGGAGACAAAAATCCAGAGTATGCAGTTGTCAACAAACCTGGAAGACGACAGTCAGCACCTGCACCAAGTTATAAAGTTTATACTAAACCTGTCACGTCACTCAGCAAGGAATATAAGGAAAGCGTGCCAGTGTCAAATAATGGGTACGATAAAATGAACTTGGATAATCCTATCGTCGAATCAGAGAATTCACAAGAAAATGACAACCAAGTTCCTATAACTTCTATTTTGAAATTGAGTGATAGCTTATCAAGCGAAAAACTGTCCCCGAGACATGTCACCATTCAGGATGAAGAATATAATAGAAATAATGGACGATATGTATATGATTCGCGCCTTTTAAGCATTCCAAAGAAAGTAATTCCGGTTCCTCCACCGGTTGTTAAATATCCTCCTGAGTATACTAGTGATAGTTATGAACATATTGGAACAACCTTGCTTTAATGATAAGTTAGCAACATGTGCTGTTTAATATTTGTATTTAATACAAATACATCAATTTATCAATTAAGCACTATACAATGTAATAATAGGAGGAGAATTAAGAAAGACGAGCATTATCAGATATATTTAATTATCCAAGAATCGAAAAAAGGGATTAATTAGAATTACACATTTTTGTGTGACATATGGACATTGTAACTTACGTATTATGATAATGTATCTTATAGCCAGAAACACAAGTTGTAAATATATAGTTTTATGGAATATATTAAATCAAGTGGCATGGTTACTAGCAATGTAGTACATGACATCTGGAATATACGTACATTTTATCAAAGATCTGCAATGAACACCGAATGTCCTTAGATTTACAAATGTACGTATTACATGCCTAAACTAATTAAACGAGTTTTAAGCACTCAGTCATCCCTTATTTATTCTTGATTCGTAGAATAAAAATGTACTAACAGGAACGGATAATAATATTGACACAAATGGAGCACTGTATTATTTATGACAGACAAAAATAACATGGGTGGAAGTAAAACAGTATTTAAAAAAAACTGCATCAGACTGTTTTTTCAGATATTCGAAACAAATTGAAAGTACTTGACCTTTGATGTACAATTCATGACTCCTCACACATTTATGTGGTAGCTACACTTCGAAGTAGGTTTACTATGTCAAAATAAGGGAAACTCTCTAAAAATATAACAGACTTTAATGCGCTTGTGTGTGTATAAAAATAAGTACAACGATCTCCATCGAAACCGGGAGAGATATCAGTTGCTTTGAACCAAAAGGCATCGTCTCTGCAGTAGTCGTCATGGCCAATTAAGTGGTTGTAAAAATTGATTAAAAAAACAAGGATTGGTTTTTGTAAGTCAGACGCGTGATCTGTTTTTATACACAGGACACATTGGTGGCTCCCAAATCAAAACAAATAACCGACCACATCAATATGTAGTTAAAGAACACTGAAAACCAAACATTTCAAAATTTTTTGCCAAATCTGACTATGGGTATTTGCTCCAGGGATAGAAACATTTTAGTGTTTTGAACGGATTTAACTTTTTGTGAACAATGAGTATACAAAAAAAATGACTACATCAATATGTCATGTCGGCACGGAGTACAGACTACTTGGGTGGTGTTCCTCTCGGACACAAAACGTGCACCAGTGGTAGTATCTACAAATTGGTTGTAAAAAGTTATCAAAGATACCAGATTTGCAATATGAGTACACCAGACGCGCATTCAGTCTGCACAAGGCTAATCAGCGGCGATCAAACACACGTACTAAATGCGATAATATATAGACACATCCAGTAAGATTAAAGGTAGTATCCAAGTGCTGCGTGACATACGTCTAACGTTGTTAGTAATAAAGTAACTTGCATTTTTTGGCTTTGAATGTTCCTGGTGAAGGCTAAACCAGAAAAGTGCTTCGAATGCATACAATTTATTAAGTGTTGTTTTCATATTGTTTTATTTAGAACTGGGTCGATACGGCTGTTGCTAGATCCAAGGATATCATCAGCTCGGTAGTCAGTGACTCGAAACTGACATGCCTTTCTTAAATGGTCCGTTCATAATTTAGAAATTATTAAGAGACTAAGGTTTCAAGTCCCTCAAGCAAAGTTGGCCATAGATGATTTCGTTATTATTTGATCCAGGAAACTGCTTTGGACGCATAACATGTATATGGTGGGTTTTTTTTTCATTTCTTTTTAAAATTATCCACCAGTCCATGATGCTAACTGAGCAGTTTTTGTGATAACACTTGTGTTCTCTCTTGTGGAAATCACTGCATTGAAAACAAGCTCTTTTAAAGGAATATTTATCAAGATAATTATTTTATATGTATAATCCTGTATGATTATTTAATTATTTTCATATACTCAACAAAGTAAAATTCATTATTCGGCGTCCTTACGTTTGCTAGCATTTATATGTACAAATGTCGTGTATTTGTCTAATGTTATGGTAAGAGTCAATATATGATAGTTCTACTTTCTTATTGTATTCCTACTTTCTACATTTACTTGATTGACTTAATTTATTATGAAGACTTTCTATAAACGGTTCATTATTAATAGACAGTTATCGTTAACTACTCTTAAACTACAATGCACCATCAGAAATGAGACAAGTGAATATTATATCCCTATTTTTGTTTTAAATAATTGCTAATTGGATCAAGGAAAACATTGCTGTGAAAGTCATGTATTTATTCTGATTTATCAAATTTAATAAATCTCTTCTTTTATTGCGTCATTGATTCCACAAATGTTTCCGTTGGAAGTTGATTTGAAATAACTTGTATCGTGTTTCTAAAACAACATTGATAATTTTGAATAAAACATATGGCGGAAGTGGAGCAGGAACTGTTTACCCTTCCCGAGCACCTGACTCCTTCGTCTGTTTTTTTTTGTATGATTCATGTCATTAAATCATTTGTTTTGTTGACTTATTTGTCATTTCGTGTTTTTTTGTAGACATTGTGTTGTACATTTTCTTCAACTTATTAAATTCCCGTCGATTCTCTCTGGGCACTCAACCTTCCGCCAATAAAATCTGGCCTCCAAGATATATCCAAGAGTGACGAAAAGCGGTTTCTATTGACACTTTGGTATTTTTAATGAATTATTTCCATTCCATCTCGATAACACGAAACACCGTGAGAGTTAGGTTTTGTTTTGGTTAGACGATTTTTCAATTTTTTTTTCTCTGAATCTATAAAGCAAACAGTTTCAAAATTCATATACATGATGGGTGTGGGACAATCTACACAGAATCCTCATTTAAGTCTAATAAGCTGAAATGCTTTTCAGCAATTTATTTGAAACAACTTGGAACTTGGGATGTCCCAAGTCAGGAACCTTTAATTCATTGGTTGACTTTTGTTGCTGTGTAACATATTTTGTTTTCGTTCATTATTTTGTACATAAATTAGGCCGTTAGTTTTCTCGTTTGAATTGTTTTACATTTGTCATTTCGGGGCCTTTTATAGCTGACTATGCGGTATGGGTTTTGCTCATTGTTGAGGGCCGTACTGTAACCTATAGTTGTTAATTTCTGTGTCATTTGGCCCTTTGTGGAGAGTTGTCTCATTGGCAATCATACCACATCTTCTTATTTTTATATTATATAACAAATATGTTGTATAGATTAAATAGCCGAATGGAAAGCTATTGATTTTGTATTTTATCATATGCATAGGTCTGAAGATGCATACTTTTGTCTCAAACGAAAAAGAGAACTCATTCTTTATGATAAAATGGTAAATTGCATTCAAAATATTTTGATGGAACATGAAGACAATTTCTTCTATGATTTGTATATCTAGAAATATTTGAATGGGATTGCTCCGTTTTAATAATTGCCCTTGGTTACACTTCGATAATCCATGCTGCCTGCACTTCATTCGTAGCCTATGTAAACACTAGGTCGATTTCACTGTTGTCCATGCATGCGCTATACACCGATACACATGATGCAGGATTCCTACAAAATAATACAGCATTAGAATTTAAAATTGGAAATGCTTGGGTTGAGAAATATAAGGATTAAATAATTATTTTTCTTCAGGTTATTGGTGGGCAGTCACGCATGGTTAAATCTATCATTTAAGAATAAATTGTTGAGGATAGTCTTTTAATCTACTACTCAGCAGGGGCGGATCCAGCCATTTTTAAAAGGAGGATTCCCAACCCAGGATAAAGGGGGGTTCCAACTATATGTCCCCCTTCAAATGCATTGATCGTCAAAAAAGGGGGGTTGCAACCCCCGGAACGCCCCGCCTGGATCTGCCACTGCTCATTAGTATAAACTTTCTTTGTGAATTCAGCCCTGGTATTCAATACTGTCCAAAATACGATTGAAAGGATTGTGAACAGTAATCCCCGAAAATGGACACGTATAAACAGTAATAAAACTAAAAATTTACTCTGACTAACAATTTTATCATGTCATCACTTTTATGCCAGTTTGATTTCTGATTTCCAGCAAAGCATATTTCACATAACGTAGAAATGACGGATCATGTAAAAAGTTGTATCATCGTTTTTGTAACTATCTATTTCCATATACGATTTCCACTTAAAAGGAAATGTTCATATCATAACCATTTATGGTAAATACCTGAGAAAAGATAACAGTATATCTCTCAGGTAAAAATATAAATTCATGTATGGGAGATCGTCCGACACATTTATATATCGTGGAAATGGTGAAATTACATATTTAGAGATATTACGAAAGATTTTTTCACTTTGACCCCTCTCCTCTGTTGACGGAATACACATAGGTAAAAATGAAGGGGGATTAATTGAAAAAACTTGCTAAACTTTCAATTAAAAAAAAAAACTTTTAACACATACACTTACTATGTGATTATTTGTGTAATTCCGGTCTAAATTATATGTATTATATTGATATGCAGATCGAACATTGTTTGGCTAAAGGTGTATGTACAATTTGCCCTGCATGTGTTTCACTCACAGGGTCAAAATGTGAAAGTTGACAAATCCTGAAAATTGATTATTGAAGAGTGTATATCATATGCTTTAAATATTGATACAAAATTTAACATACTTCCATAAAATCAAAATGTATTTAGCTTTATATATTTATGTTGAAGGCATTTTATAAAAATTGCAAAAATTTATAAATTTTTTTGACAAATTTTGCATCGAAAGACATCACCATCGAAATTGAAAAGATGTGTAGTCAAAAAGACAACACATAGCCTTACTTCCAACATAAATTTAGTTTTGTTTAACGATGTCCTTCTTATACAATTTGCAAAAATCTCTCGTAATAGCCATTTTTGGATATCCTCAGGTGTTTATAATTTGATGACCTGTTAAGAAATAAGCTTATTGTTGGAATTTTTAAGTACACACACTGGGCTGTTACAATAGAAATTTTAGTAAAGATTTAAAGACTTGTTCAAAATGGTCCTGGTGTGAAATAAATTCGGGATTATTTATCCCTACTCCTTTCAGATGAAGTATATGCTTAGTTTGTGGTTTCAACCTTTAAAAACCCTAGGTATTTCTATGAATGTCAGTCAAAGAGTTTGCACATATCAAAACATATAACTAAATTAAGAAAATAGAATAATTTATCGTTCTTTACGACAGACAAAAAAAACTTATCTATAAGGTATTCAAGCTACATGCCAACATATATCATGTTCTGTGTTACAGCTCTATATGGAGCCGAGGGAAAGTAAACTCTACTAGCGAAAGCTATATTGCCTAGTTGGCTTAGTGGTTTGGCGAGCTGGACCCAGAATCATAGATTCAAATTCCACTGAGTGAAGGACAAGCTACCCGCTTTGCAGATCTAACTATGTTGGGCTAAATTCTACACGATAAATATATATCTAATATATTTTGTATGTCCCTTTCAGTCATAAAGCTCCCCAGTATTTATAGACCTATTGGATCTTGTTGTCATAAAGCTCCCCAGTATTTATAGATCTATTGGATCTTGTTGTCATAAAGCTCCCCAGTATTTATAGATCTATTGGATCTTGTTGTCATAAAGCTCCCCAGTATTTATAGACCTATTGGATCCTGTTGTCATAAAGCTCCCTAGTATTTATAGATCTATTGGATCTTGTTTTCATAAAGCTCCCCAGTATTTATAGATCTATTGGATCTTGTTGTCATAAAGCTCCCCAGTATTTATAGACCTGTTGGATCCTGTTGTCATAAAGCTCCCCAGTATTTATAGATCTATTGGATCTTGTTTTCATAAAGCTCCCTAGTATTTATAGACCTATTGGATCTTGTTGTCATAAAGCTCCCCAGTATTTATAGACCTATTGGATCTTGTTGTCATAAAGCTCCCCATTATTTATAGACCTATTGGATCTTGTTGTCATAAAGCTTTGTTTGAGTGTTTCTATTGAAGGTAAATTCAGAAATGTGCTTCGGACGCACCAACATAAAGTGTATTTTCATCTTCTTAAATATACATAATGGTCTAAATTAATAAACAGTTTCCTTTTGAATTTTGTTTTTTCCCTCACGTAACTAGCTTCTTATGTAGGGTTTTCAAATAAAATTTTATTGTTTCGTATAAGGTTGGTCAAAGATGTTTGTGTTTATTCGTATTCTTACATGTATCACTTGAAACAATACATGATGACATCTTTTTAAACCGGCGTTATATGCTGTCGAAATCATATTGCATACACAAAAACACGTATTTTTTTTAATGTAGCTGAAATATTATTGTAAATGTGAAAAAAGCTATGAAGAGTGAAATAATTCATTCCTTTAGTGAGTCAATTTTGTCAAAAGTAGCCGTCCATACAACTATAATCATTCCTATTTATAGAAAATTGTATCATAACATCATTATCATATTGCTATATGTATCATGTTTATCATCAGTTGACTTTAGAAACAGTTAAACATGGATTTCTTTGGGATCGCAACAATTCCAGGATGGCTTGTCACGATCCTATTATTCTTCATGACAATGTGTTTGTAAGTATCATGTAAAAAAATCTACTTTTAGAATTATGGCTTTGGAACAACATTAACAAGTTCATTTACCTTTTTTGTTACAAAATGATATAAAACCGCCCTATTACCTGCAATCGATATAGGATCTGTCTTCCTGATTGCTGTTAAAACAATTATTTTGGGCAAACAGTTATTTTCTAGGCGGTTTTGGTTTTGCTCATTGTTGAAGGCTTTATGGTGACGTGTAGTTGCTTACCTTCTACGTCATTTGGTCTTTGGTGGAGAGTTGTCTCATTGGCAATCCTACCATATCTTTATTTTTATAGTTAAGATATATCATTATGCTTACAAGTAATTGATTAATGAGCGTTTTAATGAACAAAGTTAACATGTCTGTTGTCGTTTTATTAGAAATATATATGGCGATACATTATACAGCATGCACCGTCGAACGCGGACATCCCGTGATGCATTGTGATCAACGGGTAACTAGTACAATACAGGATTGCAATATTGAAATAAATAGACACCGCATGTTCAAAATAAAAAATAACCAAAATAACAGGATGAACATTGGGAAATATTAAGTATTGAAATAATCAGCAGCCTATTTCATTTACGAAACGATGAACAATCTAAATAGAGCATAATTCCCGTGTCCAAGCTAGAATGGAAACAAAGAAATGAAAAGAAAATTAAAAAAAACATCATCCTGTTACTTGACAACGGCGATGCATGATCATAGACGTCGGGTTTCAAACAAAATGAATAGAGTCAGTTGCATGGTACAATTCTCGAGAATAAAGAGAAAGGTTATCAAAAAAGAAGAGTAACATGGAAAATGGTGTGTCTTTTGTATGGGTTTAAAAAAAAGGGACCTTTTTGTTCCAGATTCTTCGTATAATAATCCTTTCTTTAAAAGAAAAGTCCTCAATTGATACGTTATGCTCGTGCACGTTCACACTATACTGACTTCATATACATTAGCGTGCTCCTTACGCAGAAACTGCTTCAACAGAGTTAAGAGGAGGAAAGATTGAAAATGACACTCCGTAAATTTTATGGACACCATCATGAATTGGTTGATCTATACGATGTGTCTGTATCTAAACTAACTAATGACATTTTTACAACGTCTTAGATTGTGGTTTATCATCTATATCGTCTGTCTGCTAAGTACCGAACGTGACCTATTTCTGAATATGACTGTTGTACCGAGTGTAAATTTGAATTGCTATACGACGTTTCTCGGTATTTTGTACATCCAACATTCATGTATTTATTTTTTATGTTTCTGTTATGGTTTCGGTTGGATAATGTGTTATGCCTTATCGTTTGTAGTCCAAATAATTATAAAACTGCCTTTTAATACCATCATTGTCATGAAAATTGTTTTGACTGGTTTTGTGAAAATAACTGTATAAAGTTCGAGATTGCATGTTCGTTACGTTAGTAAGTGCGTCACTGTTTGTGGTGTCTGTCGTTGATGGAAGATGTTCGTTGTTGTTCTACGGTTTGCATGTTGTGTCGACTATTATATTATTTGTTTGTGCGTTTCTCTGTGATGTGTGTTTATGCTGTATTTCTGTCACGTAGTGTTGTCATTTTAGCGATATTTTTTAACATTTTCATTTAAAGCGGGAGGTTGGGCTAGCCATAAAACTAGGTTTAATCAACCATTTTTTCTTAAAATGTCCTGTACCAAGTCAGGAATATGACAGTTGTTATTAAATAGTTCGTTTCTATGTATGTTGGCGTTTGTTTTGGTTGCACTCCAGTGATCCTGTAGTTCCTTTGTTTTCTTCTTATGGTTGATGTGTTTCCCTCGGTTTTAGTTTGTAACCTGGATTTGTTTTCTATAAATCGATTAATGACTTTTAAACACCGGTATACTACTGTTGCCTTTATTCATCACGAAAACCAAAACAAGTGACCAACACAAATCCGTCTCTTCTACTTCAAATCCATAACTATCTAAATTCGGCTTATGGTGCTTCTGTAATGTTTGATAGATGAATTCATGGGAAATAGATCATGTATTATTGTTTGAAAAAAAGAAAGATTTTGTTATTGAGATAACTGTTTTTGAAATATATATTGCTTAGTAGATTATTTTTTTTTATTGTAGGTACTCTTTATACTGCCAAACATTTTTCTGGAGACTTGGTATTCCTGGGCCTAGGCCAACTTTATTCTTGGGCAATTTTATGCAATATATGAAAAAGGTCAGACGCAATGTTTCTAAAAGAATCCTACTTAATGAAAATGTATGAAAAGTAACAAGACAGGTGAACGAACAAACTTGTTACATGTGTATATGAACAGGACAAGTGAAAAAATAACAAGATAGGTGTACGAACAAATTTGTTACAGGTGTATACGAACCGGACAAATGAAAAGTAACAAAACAGGTGTATGGAAAACTTTTCACATTTGTATACGGACACAAAACAAAAGCTAAAGCTTTGGACGATACGAGCACTCATCACAATTAGGTGGCCCGGAAACGTAAACGTATTCAGTTTTAAGTGCGCTACAAATTATAATACCCTTGAAGAAATCCGATATTGAGACAAAATTCAGGGTCAAGTTCGCCAAAAAAAGACGTGAAGCACATGTTATCTCCGCTTAATTATCAAATATTCACAATTGCCTGATAACGACCAACTATATTATGATGGCTAAACAAATAGTGATTACGATCTCAGGTTAGGTTGAATGTAGTTTTGTTTAAGCAGTTGTGTAAGTTATTGTGCTCTTTCGATGAAGTCTTTGTAGTGGAGATGAGCTCTTAAGAAGTTAGCTACGTTATATATGTTCTTTTCGCAGGTATATAATACGAGCTATATAACTACTCATAAAAAGAGAATTAACTTAAAGTACATATTTTGGTATTTTTCATGGGTCAAACTCAAAACATGAAAAAATTGAACGTGTCCAGTCTTTCCTCACAACAACAAAATCAACGATTCTGGTAGTAGTGGTTGTTTAGATTTCGAACGTGTTTCATCCTTTTAATTATTAATATCGACATTTTAGGTTTTTGAAAAATAATATTGTGCTGACAGTTGATGCAACACTGAAAGGTGTTTTTTCACTGAAAAAAGAACTTAAAGATAATTCCAAACAGAGTAAAGTATTTCTGTTCAGCTCAATATAGATAAAACGGATTTCGTCTATTTTAGGGTGTGTTACAAGCAGACATTGAAAATGTGCAGAAACACGGAAAGTTTTTTGGGTATGTTTAACAGTAAATATTGCAATAAATGAAGATATATGCTGACATATGACAGCTTACTTCGATTAAGGAAATTGCTTTAGATAGAACATAATGATAACCAAAGTTTGCTATTATATCTGTCAAATATATACTTGAAGCGTGAATTTTGAAGACATTTAGCATAAAAATAGTTTAGTGTAAAATCTTCAAGAAAGATACCAATTTTGTTCAAGTAGTCGAGGTACGTCTATAAGGTTGGAAAGTCGTGAAGAACGTTTTTTTTTCTCTCCACACAATGCAAAGAAAAGGTTGATAAGATAAACAACTTAACAACCAAATATCTTGTATTTTCGCGCCGATTGAAAGAAAGACAGTTTACGACTCGGATAAATTTGTCTTCCAAAATACTCGATTCTTTTCCTCTAATGTTTAAAATATCATATGCTTAATCCTTACATTGTAGGCAGTATTTTGCAAATTTGTCTGCATTAATGGTCTCTGATGTTGATATCATAAAACAAATTTGTATTAAAGATTTCTCAAAATTTCCAAACAGGCTGGTAAGTATTACATGTATACAGTGAATAGTAAAACTTAATGAAAACTATTGTTGCCTTTTTCAACCACACAAAAGATAAGAGTCCATGTACATATATCAATGCACAGGGACATCATAAGATCATTATTTCTTTTTAGATAAAAACGATTTATACTTATCGATCGGCGTTATTATATGCTAGATATAAGAGTATGTGGTATGATACATATTTGTATTTAAATGACAACTCATGGATAAGGATTACTTAGCTAAGACAGATATTTGCCTGTATGTAAAATATTCCGTAGATACATTTTGAAGTTGGTAAATAAGTAAGATAATGGTATTTACAGTCGGTATATATGTACAGTCTACTTTAAATGTGAACTGAAGATTTCAAAGCTCTTCATTCGACTATCACACATATGCAAAATAATACTATACAATAAGGTTGCATCTATCCAACTGCATTTAATATTAACTCATTTTTTTTTCATTTGAATATTAACTCATTTTTTATTTATCTTTAATTGAATATTAACTCATTTTTTTTTTTTTATCTTTAAAATATTAACTCATTGATAAAAGAAGAAAAGTATACTTGATGTTGAGTGAAAATAAGCGTATTTTTAGATAAAACAGAATATGGGTAAGAAGCCCTTTAAAAAAGTCACATCAGCGAAGAAATAATAATTTGTAGCAATGCAATTAGGTTACGGCAAATTATAAAATTCACAATAAGCAGAAAGGGGTATTATACGCATATAGCAAGTCATAAAATATCAATATAACAAAGGATTAATTATGTTATTGTTGTTCTATATCTAATCAGGAACCGTAACTCTTTCCGCAAACAATTAGTAAAGTGTAAATACCAGTTAGGCATCAGTTGCCATCTTATGAACGAATATAATTTAATCATCGCCGTAAGATTTTTCATGAAAAGAGTCCCGGTACGCTTCAGACCTTAGATCTTGCATCAAATATAGAGGTTAGGCTAGCCCCTTGTAAAGATTTGTATTATATTCATTAAGGTAACAGTTACATAATCTGCTTTGTTTTTTTACAATACATAAACTAATCACATTTTTAATGAAATCTGGCAAGCAACTAGAGAATGAGAAACTGCACATGAGTATCGAGGTGTACTAATATGTTTCCAAGAAATGGCAATTCATGTTTTGCTTTTCTATTTATACTAGGCATGTCTTTACCTTCGATGTTCATGGATTTCTCAATGTGTTTCCTTCTAGCTCCCCGCTTTTGATACTGTCTATTCTCTTGCAGATATTTTTATTTGTATGTGACTGCAGTCATATGTGGGCAGCTGTCTCTTGGAAATTAAAACAACTACAGGCAATTTGTACAACCTTCAGCAATGAGCATACATCATACCGTATAATAAACTTAAATGACCACGGGATAACAAAATTTTGAAACAATTGTTCATAAAAGAAAAAAAAACGGCGTGTCCCTTTTTGGGTAACATTTTAAATAGAATTGAGTTCCCTGACCTGTTAGCGATCAACACAGGGATATGATACACTAATAATGCAGGTATATTTTAAAATAACCATATTGAGGGTTTTGTTGTGATATACTAATATTTCATTCGTCTGCAAGTCTGACTGTATATTGTAATATATTGAAAAGGCTAAAGGTAATAACAATGATCCCTACCTAAAGGATGCCGTGTCAATTGCACGTGACGAACACTGGAAGTTTTTGAGATCATCAATTTCTCCTACCTTTTCTTCCGGAAAAATGAGACAGGTAAGGAAAACAGAGTTTACCATAATTTTATGTTACTTAGGATTTTTTGATGCAATAAAGATCACATCTTAATAGCATTTATTTCCTTTGCTTTTTCTCTCTCAACACAAATTTAGACTACCTTAATGCCTAGGTCACACATTCATGGATTTGACGCCGGATTAGCTACGAATACGATCCGGCATTATTCGTGGCAATCTGTATTGGTCCGTAGATTTCCGTATTGTAGCCACAGTCCTACGTAGTATTACTTGTATATCCGTGACAACTTTTGAACATGCGCAAAATTTGACAACGGATCAAACAACCGTAGTATATCCTTACTAAACCGTATTATTAGAACGTACTGATCCGTGTTAGTCCCTATTAAAACCGTATTAATCCGAACTTATTCGTAAGCCCACAGTATTTCTACGGTTAGTTCCAGAGAACTACGTACTAGTGCGGTTACACCACGTATTTGTTAAGGATAAAATACGATTTGTTACGAATTTGTCAGGGAACGGCACGATTTCACTACGTTGCAATACGGATAGCTAGGGATCAGCCAGGGTTATCAAAGTCTTTTAAGGTTTACTACGTTACAACACGGCAAAATACCATAGGCAGATTGAGGGCGGGGCCCAGGGTGCCGACTCCCCCCCTTTTTTTGTGGGAAAAATTTTGTTGATTATATAGGGAATCACTAAAGCATGACTGGAGCGCCGCCCCCCCCCCCCCTTTTTAGGCAGTCAGTGCCCCCCCCCCCCCCCCCCCCCCACTAATGAAAATTTCCGGATCCGCCACTGAATACGGAATATTACAGTCAACGACAAACCGACTTCAGGCTTCTGTATTAATACTCCCTACTTGTAGGGACCAACGTAGTCTGTGTCTTGCCGTAAAGGTATACATAACATTATCCAGCATGAACAATCAACTACTGATGCTTGCAATTAATTGGCTGGAATTGGATATTGGATATTGATATGGCACAAAATGCCAGGGCAATGGTTGAGCTACTTGATGACAGACGTAGACTAAGAGGTGACCGGAGGCGGAAGAGATGGTAGACTAGGAACTGGCTTCTCCGAATCCCTATCCATGGCCAGTATGAGACCCTCATGGCTGAACTTTGTGTGAAAAATCCAGCTGCATTTAAGAATCTTGTAAGAATAGACCAAAATATGTTTCTTGGACTGCAACATATCGTTAGCCCGAGGATTACGAAGAACACCACCTGGTACAGACAGACAGATAAATAATTTAATAAAAAAAAACATATAAATCATCGATTCATTGCCATAAAGAAATGATAAATCACAAGCTTAATTAGAAATGATTAATGGCTTAGAAAATGTGGCGGTTCGTACTACTCCGTATCAGGCCGTTCTCATTCGTACTAACCCTTACTTATACCGTAGCAAACCGCTGTTTATCCGCAGTACATACGCTCTCACGCGTGGCGTTGCGTATTAGACTGTGTCATTTCCGTATTAAACCGTGTCGTACCGTAAGAATCCGTATCACTAATGTCGCCAAATGACCCCTTTCCTTCGTTAACCTTGGTAGATACGTCAAAACCCGTAGTCTCACCGTTGTGCATTCGTATCGGACTACAGAAACTGCATTATCGGGATCATCCGTGAGATTTAATCCGTAGTGGAACCGGCGAGGTCCGTGAATGTGTGACATAGGCATAAAATAAACAAAATAAAAGGTCTGTTTGTTGTATGCCTGCTATATGACAAAGTAAACTTAGGTGAATTATCGTTAAATGTTGAGATAATTGAGAAAAGAGACAGGGCAATAGATTAAGACTACCCACTAGTGTCTTGTGTACTTGTCGTTGTTCGGAGAGGGAGACTTAAACAACTTAATTGTTCTAATCAATGCAGTGAACAAAAATATGAATCTTTAAAAATTAACTGATGCGTTTACCATTACAATTTTACGTTGTTCGTCTAAAGATAATATTTATTCATGAGCAAATGAATTATCTGCATGAAATGTTAATTTTAATATGACACTTTCCATTTAAATGTCGGTATTCGTTTTGAATTGAAGCGATCGATTGTTTCTTAAAAGTCCTAAGTTAGGGATTTTAGAAACTTAATAGATGCACAGCTGAACCATTTTATGACCAAAAGGGACCTAACATAATAGCCAAAACCATCTTGGGTCAATTTGCCTGAGAATATTATTTTATTGATTTTTTTATTCAGAATTACGATCTTAAATGTATGTGTTGTGGCTGCAGTCGTCGTTTCCATTTATAGATAACAGTTTTCTTCATAAAGACTTTATTGTTTGGTTGACTGTATTCATTATGAAATTTCAACAGAAGGTTTCTTGCATAAAACAAAAGCTGGTAATGATGTAAAGGCTCTTCGTCGTTCTTGTAACTAAAAAAGTCCCAACAACAGTATCTTGACTAGTTTTGGTGTACAAAACTTTTTTTACAAGATTTAAAGCATTCGTTATACGTACTTTTGCATTTTTTTTAATCTCAAGGAAAAGGGGTGGATGCGGGAGGGATTATATAGAGCACTTGCTTTTAGTAATTAAAAATAAAAATGTGTGTGCCAAATATTTTTATACGACCGCAAAAAAATTTTGTGGTCGTATATTGGTATGACGTTGGCGTCGTCGTCGTCGTCATCGTCGTCGTCCGAAGACGCATTAGTTTTCGCACTCTAACTTTAGTTTAAGTGAATGGATCTCTGTGAAATTTTACCATAAGGTTCAATACCACAAAAGGAAGGTGGGGATTGATTTTGGGGGTTATGGTACCAACAGTTAAGGAATTAGGGGCCAAAAAGGGGCCAAAAATAAGCATTTTCTAGTTTCCAGACAATAACTGTGGAACGGTGTATGGATCTCTCTGAAATTATACTACAAGTTTCCATACCTCAAAGGGATGGTTAGGATTTGCTTGGGGGGGTTATGGCTCAAACCGTTAAAGAATTAGGGGCAAAAAAGGGGGAAAAACAAAGTTGTCCTGGTTAATGGACAAATACTTTAGTACAAAACATAATTTAAAGCAGTGTAAGGGAGATAAATCAAATACATCATTGAAATTATCTCCCTTACACTGCTTTTAAATTATGTATAAAGTAATGGTTAATGAACAATTAAGATAATTTAAAACAGTGTAAGGGAGGTAATCCAAATACAACGTTTTGGTTACTTCCCTTACACTGCTTTTAAATTATGTTTAAAGAAATACATATTTATAAAGCAAGACCAGTAAAAATATCTGCAAATGTTGCATCTTTTTTTTTTACAAAAAAAATCCATATGAAAGATTTGACACTATATTTTAAATTCTATTATAAAATAGATTAAGTTAACACTATGGTAAATTTAAATGGGTTATGGTTGCAAACTCCATTGGAAATTTGAATTGAGATTATGACCATATCTTGAGGGAAAGAATTTTTTGGGGAAAAAGGGGGGGGGGGGGGGTAAAAAGAAATTGTGGGGGTCAATTTTTTCTCATTTCAGATTTCAGAAATTAAAAAGAATTATTCTTCAAATATTATTTTTTTTTCAAATTTCAAATATTGAAAAATTTCAAGAAGTAATCTTTAATTGCACAGTATGGCGCATTAGATTTGTAAAATCTTTGACCACTTTTATTTATTTGTTATGCCATATCTAACCGTAATCTTTAGATTTTTTTAATTTTGGGTCCAGTTTTCAAATTGGTCTACATTAAGGTCCAAAGGGTCCAAAATTAAACTTTGTTTGATTTTAACAAAAATTGAATATATGGGGTTCTTTGATATGCTGAATCTAAACATGTATTTAGATTTTTGATTTTTGGCCCAGTTTTCAAGTTGGTCCAAATTGGGGTCCAAAATTAAACTTTGTTTGATTTCAACAAAAATTGAATATATGGGGTTCTTTGATATGCTGAATCTAACCATGTATTTAGATTTTTTATTTGTGGACCCCGCTATCAAATTGGTTCATATTGAGGTCAAAAGGGTCCAAAATTAAACTTTGTTTGATTTTCATCAAAAATTGAATTATTGGGGTTCTTTGATATGCCAAATCTAACCGTGTATTTAGATTTTTAATTTTGGGTCCCGTTTTTATACGACCGCAAAAAAAATTTTGTGGTCGTATGTTGGTATGACGTTGGCGTCGTCGTCGTCGTCGTCGTCGTCGTCGTCATCTGGCGTCGTCCGGCGTCGTCCGGCGTCGTCCGAAGACACATTGGTTTTCGCACTCTAACTTTAGTTTAAGTGAATGGATCTCTATGAAATTTTACCACAAGGTTCAATACCACAAAAGGAAGGTTGGGATTGATTTTGGGGGTTATGGTACCAACAGTAAAGGAATTAGGGGCCAAAAAGGGGCCAAAAATAAGCATTTTTGTAACTTCCAGACATAACTTGTGTGTTAGTGTATGGATATCTCTGACATTGTACCACAAGGTTCCATATCACAAAAGAAATGCTGGGATTGATTTTGGGGGTAATTGCCTCAAAATTTTAGGAATTAGGGGCCAAAAAAGGGGCAAAAAACAAGCATTTTTCTAGTTTCATGACAATAACTTGTATGTAAGTGTATGGATGTTTCTGAAATTGTACTACAAGGTTCCATATCACAAAGGGAAAGCTGGAATTGAGTTTGGGGGTAATTGCCGAAATGTTTAGGAATTGGGGGCCAAAAAAGGGGCCAAAAAATAAGCATTTTTCTAGTTTCCAGACAATAACTTGTGTTCATGTGTATGGATCTCTCTGAAATTGTACTGCAAGGTACCATACTACAAAGGGAAGGCTGGGATTGATGATGGGGGTAATTGCCTCAATATTATAGGAATTAGGGGCCAAAAAGGGGCAAAAAACAAGCATTTTAATAGTTTCAGGACAATAACTTGTGTGTAAGTGTATGGATCTTTCTGAAATTGTACTACAAGGTTCCATATCACAAAGGGAAAGCTGGGTTTGAGTTTGGGGGTAATTGCCCTAAACGTTTAGGAATTAGGGGCCAAAAAGGGGCCAAAAAACACATTTTTCTAGTTTCCAGACAATAACTTGTGTTCAAGTGTATGGATCTCTCTGAAATTGTACTGCAAGGTACCATACCACAAAGGGAAGGCTGGGATTGAGTTTGGGGGTGATGAATCATAAGGGGGTTCAAAAAATTTGGGGGGGGGATTTTTTTTTTTTCCTTTTTTTTCTTTTAAAATTTTCCATTTTAAGTTGGTTATTTCTGATTTATATTTAAAAGCAAATAATACTGATATGGTAGGAGATACACGCCAAACAGGATGTGTAAATTATTATATAATAAGTATTGTGCAAGAGCAAGAAATTTTCAATTGCAAAGTATTGCACAATAGCAAGAAATCTTCAATTGCACAGTATTGCGCAATAGCAAGAAATCTTCAATTGCACAGTATTGCGCAATAGCAAGAAATATCCAATAGCACAATATTGCGCAATAGCAAGAAATTGTCAATTGTACAGTATTGCGCAATAGGAAGAAATATTTAATTGCACAGTATTGTGCAAAAGAAGATGCTTCGTATAAATTGCTTATTTCTTGACCAATTTCAATGGGGTTTTATTCTTGAATTCTTGGGGTTCTTTAATATGCTGAATCTAACCGTGTATTTAGTTTTTGGATTTTGGGCCCCGTTTTTAAATTGGTCCACATTGAGGTCCAAAGGGTCCAAAATTAAACTTTGTTTGATTTCATCAAAAATTGAATTATTGGGGTTCTTTGATATGCCGAATCTAACCGTGTATTTAGATTCTTAATTTTTGGTTCCGTTTTCAAATTGGTTTACATTAAGGTCCAAAGGGTCCAAAATTAAACTTAGTTTGATTTTAACAAAAATTGAATTCTTAGGGTTCTTTGATATGCTGAATCTAAACATGTATTTAGATTTTTGATTATGGGTCAAGTTGGTCCAAATCGGGGTTCAAAATTAAACTTTGTTTGATTTCAACAAAAATTGAATATATAGGGGTTCTTTGATATGCTGAATCTAACCATGTATTTAGATTTTTGATTTTTGGGCCCCGTTATCAACTTTGACCACATTGAGGTCAAAAGGGTCCAAAATTAAACTTTGTTTGATTTCATCAAAAATTGAATTCTTGGGGTTCTTTGATATGCTGAATCAAACCATGTATTTAGATTTTGGATATTGGACCATAATAGGTGAATGTCCAATTTAAAATTTTTAAGTTCTTAGACCACATTCATTCTGTGTCAGAAACCTATGCTGTGTCAAATATTTAATCACAATCCAAATGCAAAGCTGTATCAAGCTTGAATGTTGTGTCCATACTTGCCCCAACTGTTCAGGGTTCGACCTCTGCGGTCGTATCAAGCTGCGCCCTGCGGAGCATTTTATTTAAATTGGTCTACATTAAGGTTCAAAGGGTCCAAAATTAAACTTAGTTTGATTTTAACAAAAATTGAATTTTTGGGGTTCTTTGATATGCTGAATCTAAACATGTGTTTAGATTTTTGATTATGGGCCCAGTTTTCAAGTTGGTCCAAGTTGGGGTCCAAAATTAAACTTTGTTTGATTTCAACAAAAATTGAATATATGGGGTTCTTTGATATGCTGAATCTAAACATGTATTTAGATTTTAGATTTTTGGACCAGTTTTCAAGTTGGTCCAAATTGGGGTCCAAAAATAAACTTTGTTTGATTTCAACAAAAATTGAATATATGGGGTTCTTTGATATGCTGAATCTTACCATGTATTTAGATTTTTTATTTGTGGGCCCGCTATCAAATTGGTTCATATTGAGGTCAAAAGGGTCCAAAATTAAAGTTTGTTTGATTTCATCAAAAATTGAATTATTGGGGTTCTTTGATATGCCAAATCTAACCGTGTTTTTAGATTTTTAATTTTGGGTCCCGTTTTTATACGACCGCAAAAAAATTTTTGTGGTCGTATATTGGTATGACGTTGGCGTCGTCGTCGTCGTCCGGCGTCGTCGTCGTCGTCGTCGTCGTCGTCTTGCGTCGTCGTCCGAATACACATTGATTTTCGCACTCTAACTTTAGTTTAAGTGAATGGATCTTTTTGAAATTTTACCATAAGGTTAAATACCACAAAAGGAAGGTTGGGATTGATTTTAGGGGTTTTTGTACCAACAGTTAAGGAATTAGGGGCCAAAAAGGGGCCAAAAATTAGCATTTTCTAGTTTCCAGACAATAACTGTGGTACAGTGTATGGATCTCTCTGAAATTATACTACAAGTTTCCATACCACAAAGGGATGGTTAGGATTTGCTTTGGGGGGTTATGGCTCAAACCGTTTAGGAATTAGGGGCAAAAAAGGGGGAAAAACAAGGTTGTCCTGGTTAATGGACAAATACTTTAGTACAAAACATAATTTAAAGCAGTGTAAGGGAGATAAATCAAATACATCATTGAAATTATCTCCCTTACACTGCTTTTAAATTATGTATAAAGTAATGGTTAATGAACAATAAAGATAATTTAAAACAGTGTAAGGGAGGTAATCCAAATACAACGTTTTGGTTACTTCCCTTACACTGCTTTTAAATTATGTTTAAAGAAATGCATATTTATAAAGGAAGACCAGTAAAAATATCTGCAAATGTTGCATCATTTTATTTTACAAAAAAATCTATATGAAAGATTTGAAACTATATTTTTAATTCTTTTATAAAATAGATTAAGTTAGCACTATGGTAAAATTAAATGGGTAATTATGGTTGCCAACTCCATTGGAAATTTGAATTGAGATTATGACCATATCTTGAGGGAAAGAATTTTTTGGGGGAAAAAAGGGGGGGGGGATAAAAAGAAATTGTGGGGGGTAAATTTTTTCTCATTTCAGATTTCAGAAATTAAAAAGAATTATTCTTCAAATATTATTTTTTTTTCAAATTTCAAATATTGAAAAATTTCAAGAAGTAATCTTTAATTGCACAGTATGGCACATTAGATTTGTAAAATCTTTGATCACATTTATTTATTTGTTATGCCGAATCTAACAGTGTATTTAGATTTTTAATTTTGGGTCCAGTTTTCAAAATAGTCTACATTAAGGTCCAAAGGGTCCAAAATTAAACTTTGTTTGATTTTAGCAAAAATTGAATATATGAGGTTCTTTGATGTGCTGAATCTAAACATGTATTTAGATTTTTGATTTTTGGCCCAGTTTTCAAGTTGGTCCAAATTGGGGTCCAAAATTAAACTTTGTTTGATTTCATCTAAAATTGAATTATTGGGGCTCTTTGATATTCCAAATCTAACCGTGTATTTAGATTTTTAATTTTGGGTCCTGTTTTTTAAATTGGTCTACATTAAGGTCCAAAGGGTCCAAAATTAAACTTAGTTTGATTTTAACAAAAATTGAATTCTTGGGGTACTTTGATATGCTGAATCTAAACATGTGTTTAGATTTTTGATTATGGGACCAGTTTTCAAGTTTGTCCAAGTTGGGGTCCAAAATTGAACTTTGTTTGATTTCAACAAAAATTGAATATATGGGGTTCTTTGATATGCTGAATCTAATCATGTATTTTGATTTTGGACATTGGACCATAATAGGTAAATTAAAAAAATTGAAGTTCTTAGACCACATTCTTTCTGTGTCAGAAACCTATGCTGTGTCAAATATTTAATCACAATCCAAATTCAGAGCTGTATCAAGCTTGAATGTTGTGTCCATACTTGACCCAACTGTTCAGGGTTCGACCTCTGCGGTCGTATCAAGCTGCGCCCAGCGAAGCATTTTATTTTTCTTTCTTTTCACAAAATAATGCAAAATTTTCGTTGATTTGCGGTAATATCAAGATTCCTCTTTTCTCGTGCGAAATTGCGCAACAGACTGCCACTTATAAATATAAAATTATAATGTGTGAATGATATATTTCTCAGATGGTGCCATTGCTTCAGAAATGTGTTAATGACATGGTTGAAAAAATGAAGAAAGATACAGAAAACGGAGAAGTAGTCGATGTGTGCAAGTAAGAAAAAAATCAATACGATTAGTAACACAATAATAAGTTATAGATACAGTGTTCGTTTCCTTCCATGAAAGATGAAAAACTGTTGATTGCACTTCTCATTTATTTTTAAAAGAGTTATGCCTCTTGGAAACATTAATTATATGGAAAATTGCATTGTTAGCGCTATCATTTGTACACTTCTTGCCAGATTTTTATGAAACTAATATATCATAGGTTTATATTAGCAATGTCTTAGACGAGTTCGAAAATCAGTGCCGATCGATTATTCTTAAAAGAGTTATGCCCCTTGGAAACAATTAATAAATGGAAAATTGCATTGTTAGCGCTCTCATGCCAGAATTTTATGAAACTCAAATCATAGGTATATATAATCAATGTTTTTGACTAGTTCGAAAATCAGTAAGTTCGAAAATCAATAACAATCAATAATTTCTAAAAGAGTAATGCCCCTTAGAAATGTTAATTATATGGAAAACTGACTTTTGAGCGCTCTAATGTGTAAGATGTTTGGGAGATATCATTTTTTGAACATCAACACAGACGGTATACAGGTGTGTAGTGTTTTAAATTCAATGATTTTTTTATACGACCGCAAAAATAAAAATTTTTTTGGTCGTATATTGGTATCACGTTGTCGTCGTCGTCGTTGTCGTCGTCGTCGTCGTCGTCGTCGTCGTCGTCAGCGTCGTCCGAAGACAGATGGTTTCCGGATAATAACTTTAGTATAAGTAAATAGAAATCAATAAAATTTTAACACAAGGTTTATTACCACTAAAGAAAGGTTGGGATTGATTTTGGGGTTAATGGTCCCAACTGTTTAAGAAATAGGGGCCAAAAAAGGGGCCCAAATAAGCATGTTTGTAGTTTCCAGACAATAACTTGTGTTAAAGTGTATGAATCTCTGAAATTATACCACAAGTTTCCATACTACAAAGGGATGGTTAGGATTGACTTTGAGGGGTTATGGCTCAAACCATTTAGGAATTATGGGCAAAAAAGGGGGAAAACAAGGGTTTTTCTGGTTAAAGGACAATTGAGACAATTTAAAAGTAGTGTAAGGGAGGTAATCCAAATCAATTTTAAAAACAATGTTTGATTATCTCCCTTACACTGCTTGTATATTATGTTTTAAGAAATGATGATTGTCTTGAGGTGATTAGCTGTCAATTTATTTTTAGCAGTTACTATTAATTAATATTAATTTTAGCCATGACTATGTATGTCATTTTATATTTTAAGACTTTTATGATGTATTTAAATGGGTAATTATGGTTGCAAACTTCATTAGAAATTTGAATTGAGATACTGACCATATCTTGAGGGAAAGAATTTTTTTTGGAATAAGGGAAAGGGGGAAGGTGAAAAAAAATTGGAGGGGGGACAATTTTTCTCGTTTCAGATTTCAGAAATTAAAAGAAAATTTCTTCAAATTTTTTTTTGGGGGGTTAATATTCAACAGCATAGTGAATTGCACAAAAGCCAAAAACCGGGGTAAAATGTTTTTTTTTTTTTTTTGGGGGGGGGGGGGGTCAATTCGCAACAGCATAGTGTATTGCACAAAGCCAAAAATTGAATATAAATTCAAATCATATAACCAATTTGAAGTTCTTTGACTACAGTTATTCTGTGTCAGAAACCTATTATGTGTCAAAAATTTAATTACAATCCAAATTCAGACCTGTATCAAGCGTGAATATTGTGTCCATTTTGGCCCCAATTTTTCAGGGTTGGACATCTGCGGTCGTATCCAGTTGCGCTCAGCGAAGCAATTTATTAAAGTTTTTAATCGATTGTCCGATTGTTCGTAGTCGAAATCCCCATACCAGGAACCGAATTCCTGTTGTACGTGCTTTCATGCCTCTTATCACGGATATAACCGATAGATAGAAGTATAGGCGACCATATTTCTATACTTTAGTTAACCCTTGCAAACCTTTATTAAATAATCATTCTTTAGTACCGATATCTGATTGGTTAACCTAAAAGAAACCTGCTAAATTAAGGATGTACAATGAACAAATCTTATAATGACGTCTGTTTATATAATTCTTTCTTACCGATCTGTTACCAATATGCTTATTTTAAATATTAAACACCCGGCCGATACTAAAAGTATGTTTGAAAAGTATGGCTGCTTTTGTCCATGTCATTGGCGTTAACACCGGAAATAAAAACTGCCTTTTTCTACAGGTACTGTGGTTCGTTTTCAATGGATGTAATAGCCAGTACAGCTTTCGGTATGGATGTAGACGCCCAAAACGATCCAGATAATGCATTTATCAAGAATGCGAAAAAAGCCTTTTCATCTGGGTTCAAAAATCCAATGGTACTGCTTATCAGTGAGTTAATACAGTTATAACATCATTCTTATCTTAATGAAAATGTTATTTATTGTTGAATTGTTGTGTTTTGCAGACGTGTCAGAAATTGCAGACCACAATACATAGTACATAGCTTTTTAATGAAACGTTCCCTTTTGTTTTTCCAAGGATATTCCGTTTGTTTCACCCCGAGGACGGTTTCTTCCGTTTTGGATTTTGAAATAGCAGATAACAATTATTCTTGATCTTTAACAAAATGTGCAAATTTCGAGAGTCGTCTGTAATTCATGTGTAAGACTTTTAATGTTTATATAGAAAATTATGTGTTTTATCATATTTACGGCTGTATTTTACAAAAACAAAGACTCTTTTTGTTCGATTCATTTTTTTTCCAACTTTGCCACATAAGGGGAGATAGCGCGGATAAAGTAACTTTTATAACAGAATGTGTTGTAAATTTATCTCTTTTATTATGTAGCAAGAAAACGAGTTAAGTGACCCCATTTTTCCTTTTTCTTATCTAAAAGCATATCATTAGAGCTATTTTCCCATATTTTATCTTAAAATTCTATGGTGTAGTTTTCTTTCTATTACACAAAAATGGGTTTTCCGTGCAATCTAACAATTTTGCACAGCCTGTAGTATGACCTATACTTTTTATAATTAACATTTTGAAAAAAAAAAGTTATAAACTACATTTTGACAAATTAAAAAAAATTCTATTGATTTTAATTTAGACACCCCTCCCTCGTCTTCCTAAAAACATACTAAAGTTTTACAATTTGTTTTGAACAAGTAAACAAAAGAACAATAATGTACCAATTTTAATCTTCTACCTGTACGTTCTCTTTATTTATTCCTTAATTAATTTTCAGTATTTTTCCCGTTTACAAGAAGATTGCTTCCATACTTAAAATTATCAACATTGAGCAAAGAAATGGCGAGTTTTTTTAACTCTGCTGTCAACACTGTTATCGAAGAAAGAAAGTCGGAAAGCACGGTAGGTTTTGAATTGCTGTTATCCTAAGAAGAAAGTCGGAAAGCACTGTAAATTTTGAATTACTGTTATCGTAGAAAGAAAGTCGGAAAGCACGGTAGGTTTTGAATTGCTGTTATCCTAAGAAGAAAGTCGGAAAGCACGGTATGTTTTGAATTACTGTTATTAAAGTGAGTAAGTCAGAAAAGAAAAAAGGTTTTCTTTATTTCAAGAGTTAAAAGACATGTACTATGGATTTAAATGGATAGATCTAATTGTACTCATAAACTTTCAACAATGTTATTCAATAGCATGCATCTGAGGTTTTCTCTTTATTATATAAAAAAAAAGTGGTCAAAACAGTGTTTATCATCAACAAATCGCTATTTTGTAGTTGTTTTACAGATAAAAATTGTTGACTGTATGTTAAATATAAGTTTCTTAGTTTAATGGTTTCTGGTTAATAAAAACAATTACTATTAAACTAAATATTAATAGATTATAATGAATTACAAACAAATTTAGAACTGACGAACGGATAAAACGACCTTGTTAAAAAATCATAACAAGAAATGAGCTGTCAAATTGACAGCAAACCGGATTTTTTCTATTTCGAAGGTAACCATTGTAAAAGTTTTAAATTTCAATAGATGGCAGCTAATACGATTGAAAGTGGTGTATAATGATGTATTTGGCACGTTCATGCTTGTTTCACTGTCTGTGCCTAGTTTACAATCTATCAATGATCATATGTCCTGAACGGCAAAGATGAAAATCGTCAATTTCAATCTTGAACTCTATTTCGCCAGTAACAACACATCAACATTTGAAATTCATTGGTTGAATGGTTAATGGTATGGAAACGACATAAAGTGCCATTTTAGAATTTATAAAGGATCATCCAGAATTGAAAATCATCAATGTCACACTTGACCTCCATTTTGCAACATACTATATTTGAAAAGAATCTAAACGACTCATAAATTATTGCACGGAAATGACATAAAGTTTTGTTTTCGAATCTGTCAATTACCAGAACTCTTGAACAATCCTCAATATTGAATATTACCTTCAACATTGGTTGAAGGGCTCAAAAGTTATTGCACAAAAACGACACATACCACAAAAGACCATAAGCCCTGAAAAGTAAAAGTAAAAATCGTCAATACTGAACTTGACCTCCATTTTGTCATCATGTATATCAAAAGTTTGAAAAGCATTTGTTGAACGGTTCATAAGAAATGACCTAAAGTGTCATTTTCCAATCTATCAAGGACAATAACTCCCGAACGGTACGAGTGCAAATCGTCAATAACAACTGACCTCCAGTTTGTCATCATCAACAGCATATTAGAATTGAAAAACAAATATTGTTTGACCGGTCTTGGGGTCGAAGCCCGCTGACGGAAGACGCTTTTCAGCATTTATAGATGCAAAATTTGAGAATTAGGTGGATTCAAAACATAAAATTTAAAAGATCTAATAATTTTACTATTACATCTGACTGATGAATTAAGGCCGTACAATCAGAAATTAATTAAAAAAAAAACATTTTTACTATCTTCATTGTACAGAGTAGCCCTTTAGTTAAGCAGCAGTCCTGTTAAGTATTTGTATATATCCATTCCGTTCTCATTGTTGATGGCCGTAAGATGACCTATAGTTTTTAACTTCTATGCCGTTTGGTCTCTGGTGGAGAGTTGCCTCATTTGCAATCGTAGCACATCTTCTTGTTTGTATATATAGGCACGTGCCTATAATTCCTAACAGCAGCTTTGCCCCCACGGAATAAGCAAATGCTTAGGTCGTTCGGAAAAACAAACAAACTTTTATTTCAGAAAAGACAAGACTTATTAGGACTAATGTTAAACGCACATACAGACAAAGAAAAAAGTGAGGAAAATATAGAATTGTCATCTACAACTCTGAAGGATTTCAAGAAAAGACGTGAGTACATTCATCTATACCATAAGTTCAAATTCCAAGAGATAAAAGTTTTCTTAAAAGGAGATATTTGGTTCATATCAACGAAACATAAACCGTTCAGACCAAAAACATATATTTGGTTTTTATAGGAACAACAATGATTTGTATCACTTGGTTCCAGATAACATTTCTAGCAAATTTGTTTATCATCCATACCCATATATTTAGGGCGATGGTCAATTAGGTTGTATGCACCGTAAAACTCCAGTCTACCATCAAATTTTCGCTAAAGATTATATATTTCTTCGCCAAGATGAGTTTGAACCCCGTATAGATCGCAGAACCGTTAACTAAAATTCAATGTGACAAAAGAGAGGCGAAAGATACCAAAGGGGCATGCAAACGGATATGTCGGAAACAAACTAACACTGCTATGGCTAAAAAAGAAAAATACCAACAGTCAAACAACAGTACACAAAACACAACATAGAAAACTCAAGACTGAGCAACACGAACCCCAACACTGGGGGTGATCTCAGGTGACCCGAGAGAGTATACAGATCTTGCTCTACATGTGGCACCTTTCTTGTATCTCATGTAAGTACACACTCGCTGATAAGTTTAATTCGGTAGGTCACCTTCGGGGAAAAGGGGACAGGGTTTTAGTGACGACAATTGGAACATATGCGTCGTCATCTGTGAAACAGATATTTCATAACGGTCAACCAACTCGTGATGGCGTCCGTAAAATTTAAGAAGGGATAAGTTCAACGTCACCACATTGAACTCTTGGTTTAATAGCTTCCTTGTGAGCAGCAACCATCTATAATGGAAAACATGATAGGAAAAACATGTCCTAGATTATCGTATCAGTTGGAAGATATCTATCCATTTGCAAGCGCTGTTGTAATGTTGCTACATAGAAATGGAAAGTTCAGAATTTAGAAGCTGAAATCATCTCTTTTGTCGTAAAAATTTGTTTTCAACCGACCCTCATTGTCAATTTCTAGATGTTAGTCAAGATATCATGCAGACTTAACTGTGTCTGTTGTATCCTTTATCTCACGTTCTATTGGATATGTGCGTTCAACAGAGTCATCAAATTTTGATTATTATATAGTAGGAGAACCTCATCTAAATAGGGAAAGTGAAGTTAAAGGATACTGCTAACTTCTTTTCTTTCTTCCTAAGAAGTTTCTTTGTGTAGTCAGCATCGTGTGAATAAAGGAACAAGTCAGCAAGGGGATCACAGTTGGTTCCCATGTTTGTTTAAAGACACGTTCTCCAAACGTTACAAATATGTTGTCAATCCAGAAATCAAACATCTTAATAATATCAGTTTCAGAAAATTTTGTGTTTGAATCAGAGTGATTTTTTACAAAGTACGATTTATCCCTTTTAAGACAAGATACTTGTATCTACGTTGGTCATTCTTTTTGTCTTTTAGTATGGGATAGGGAATACTTGTGTAAAGAGTAGAAAAGTCAAATGTTTTACAAGTATTACAAGATTAAAAAAAGCTTAGATTGCATCTACTCTAAAGGATCTTCTGAATTTTTTAGTATCCACATCTTATAACGCCACCTCTAGAATAGGTAGTTTCACAATAACTTTTAAGCCCAGCTTTGATTGAAAAATCAATTGATGTTAATAATTTAGAAAGAGGTTGCGTGGAGCACGTGGACGACTCGGCAATACAACGTCGTTTGTAAGTACACTTGTAGCTTAGGTTTCCAATACAATGAAAGAAGATCCAGTTCTTCATCTTTGGTTAAAATGCCAAAGGAACATAGAACAGGTAATGATTAACCCGAATATCCTTCTTGGTAAGTGTCGTATGGGTCTATGTTGAGTTTCCAAGTGAATTGGCAATACCTTATTCATTTTTCAAGCAGTTCATGTAATGTAATTTACACACAAAAACGATGATTTTTAAGAGGAAGAAGTCCATAGGCATCGCATATGCGCTGTCTGGCACACACTTATAAAATTTGCACCAATTGTTTTTTAATATCAATTTCAAGTTACCAACACTATTTAAATTTTGTAGAGTTCGCTAAAATTTTTTTTTTTTTAAATCAATAAACCTTCATAGATCGGGCAACCTTATTCATTTGCAGAGTTCGAATTGTATTAAATGTCAATTCTGAGATCAAAGTCCGTGCCACCTTAGCATTTATAAGAAATAAAACAATGCTGATTATTTCTGGTGGCAAAAAATATTCAAACAAAAACACCAATTGCCCTAAAAGAACAACAAAGGAAAATAAATATGACAAGAGTACTTGCAGTTACTGAAAGCTAGTTCAAAGCTAATTTTAACTAAATACAGTTCTTCAAAACTAATATTTTGAACTCTAAAAATGGAAATGTTTTCTTTCAATAAATGTGCAGTTCTGGACCATCAGTTGGTAGGGTCAGATTTTCGATTGGTTTATCTGATATCATTGACGATCATATACAATCGAAAATTGTACATGTACAGTAAACGTATTTGAAGAAATTCGAGGTGTAAGGAAGTGAACGGTAAATTTTTTATAACATATTCCTGCACCAAAAAGGACCCAGATGCAGTTATATTTAACTGTCACAACCTGAATAATGAATAAAATAGGAGGTCATTGTTTGTATTCGTGAGAAATGTTAACTTCATGAAGAAAAATAATTGACTTATTTTTTATTTGGTATATTGATCCCTAGATATTTTTGGAGTTTTGTATTGTCGCATCACATAAATATAGGAAATTGTCACTCTTATCGTAATCTAATCACTGGATATAAACCCATTTCAATAAGAGTAATACGATGTGTCTCACTAGTGGAGCAGCAGCTGCTGATCCTTGCGGAGAACCCAAGTGCATCCCCGGCTTTAGGGGTTCGTGATGTTCGGTCTTTAGTTTTCTTTGTATTGTTTTGTGGATCGTTTTTGTGTTTTCGACGTTTTTCTATTTGGCTATGGTGCTGTGTGTTAATATTCGACTGATGTATAATTTATCCCCATGTTTATTTCTCACATTTTTCACAACAGTTAGTACATTTTATTACATTTTGAAGTAATTGATGAGAATTAAAGAAGAAATAATTCATCAATACTTTTAGATTTTACCAAAATACGATTCATACAATGTGATATTGACCCAGATTTGTTTTGCTTAATCGATTTATGACTATTGAACAGCGGTATACTACTGTTGCCTTTATTGTGTATTTTGATAATCAAGTGACTGTAAATTTCAATCAGCACTTGTTTAACATCGGTAACATTTACCATAGGTAAATAACCACAGACCAATTTGTGTTATGAAAATGTAATTATCTTCTTCAGTACATGTTTTCAAGTACAACGTTTTACATAATAAGTTTTGTTCGTGAAAAAATAACTCACACTTAACAGTTCGTTCTGCCTATACTTGCTAAAACATAATTGTATACTTTTTAAAGGACAGCATTTACTTTCTCACGATTTTAACAGTTGTTTTTTTTTTTTTTTTTGTGTGTTTCATGTTAAAAAGGCATTCAGGAGCAAATTTGATTTGATTTGACATACTTCAGCAGCCTTCGAGTATAAAAAGGCCCAAAAGAATCACTCACGATTATCTTAGTTTTGTCTCAAATAGATTTCACATCCTTTTTCCAAAATATCTTCTTAAAATATTATTAAAAAATTTATATTGCAGCCCTTACAAACAACGAAATATTAGCAAATAGCCTTATATTCTTTTTGGCTGGATATGAGACTACTGCGAATGTTCTATCCTTTGTCCTGTATTGCTTAGCTCTATACCCAGATTATGCTGACAAGGTTCGATATGAAGTTACTGATAACATTGGAAAGGTAGAGTTTGTAATACAATACACAAGTACAGAATATATATTTAAATAACAATTAGATGTGGTATAGTTTACAACGAGACAACTATCCACCAGAGACCAAATGATGAGGATGTTAATAAATATAGATCTTTTTCAAAGCCAATTTCAACTAGTGAATAATCATTTTCCCAATATTTTTCCATCGGCAAGCGCAAAATTTTATTGTGAACTATATTATATAAGGAATTAACTATTTCAAAAACAAAGTAGTATTTTTTAATAAACAGACACTTCTCAAGATACTTCGTTTTACAGCTCGCATACACCATTTTAACAAGTTCCCCTTATATTGGCATTGCTGAATGTATTGGAGATAACATCCCAAAGTTACTCTTTTACGATTCATATTTGAACAAAGTGTTTATACTGGTGTTTTCTTCATCATGACTGTTACAGAATGAATGACTGCGATAAGCGTTTGAGAAGGTCCTTACTGCCGATTTAATCTGCAACATTTTAAATAGTTGTTTGAATTTTTAAGGCAGTTGTGTTGTATGTCTGTGATGTTTGTCTACACAGTTTTGGCTGCTGAACCGAATTATTGTCACAAAGCCTAATATGTCTGTTTGGGTTGTTCACTCAATTTTGTCAATATATCAGAACTTTAAACAATTGTCGTACAAGTGGGAGGTATATCTAGCTATAAAACCAGGTTTAACCCATCATTTTCTTCGGAAAATGCTTGTACAAAGTCAGGAATATGACAGTTGTTTTCCATCTGTTCCGTTTGTTGATAATGTCTAACGTTTGATTTTGTAAGTTTTTATGGCTTCCCACTTTTTGAATTCTAATTTAGTTTTGTTATTCTATTTTATATATGATTCGAACGCATGAAATTTCGTGTTGTTTTCATTTTTTAAGTGTTCCAAGTGGCAAATATGTTTTACTTTCCTGTATAATTGACAAGTTAATGGGCACAGACCATTCCACCATTTATAGAGTGCAAAATGTATGTTTTACAGAGCAAGGTGGATGGAAGCGATAATATATTAATATATTCTTAACGCTATTTATCCTTAAACCTTTTATTAACTAAATGTTATTAAACAGATTGATCTGTACAATAACATATTTATGGTTTGAATTACAGGAAAAACCAACATATGACAACGTCTCAAAGCTTCAGTATTTAGATATGTTTGTGAGTGAGGTCCTTCGACTTTATGGTTCGGCTGCAAGGTAAATATAACATTCATAGTACAAAATGCTTACACCCACTTCATTTGAACTGTGGTTGATATTTGTCCCATTGGCAATCATACCACATGTCCTTATTTTTATAGTTATTGCTATTTCACATGACCTTGTCCAAAGACATCTGGTTTCCAGACGATGACTTGAGTATAAGTGTGTGGATCTCAATGAAATTATACTGCAGTGTTCCATACCACAAAAAGAAGTGTGAGAGAGATTTGGGGGTTATTGTCCTAACTGTTTATGAATAAGGGGCCAAAAACAAGCATTTTCTGGTTTCGGGACAATAACTTGTGTATAAGTGTATGGATCTCTATGAAAAGAGGCTAACAATAATACTGTTCTAATACTTTGTTTACATTGCTTAATTCTTGACCATTTTCAATTGGGTTTAATTCACAAATTTGCAATCTTGGTGTTCTTTAACATACTGAATCTAACCGTGTATGTAGATTTTTGATATTGGACCTCGTTTTGAAATTGGTCCACATTGAGGTCCAAAGGATACACAATTCAACTTTGTTTGATTTCATCAAAAATTGAATTTTTGGAGTTCTTTGATATGCTAACTCTATCCATGTATCTATATTTTGGATATTGAACCATATAAGTAAATGCCCAATTTCAATTTTTTCAGTCTTTAGGCCACATTCATTCTGTGTCAGAAACCTGTTTTAATCAAAAAGTAAAACTTTAAATACAAAATCTAGGCAGTGATATAAAGGCAGTATTATCTTACGTGAAATCAATTGTACAGAAATGTGAAATGTTTATGAAGATGTCGATTTCAAAGTAGATTGCTCATAAAATGTGTATTACATTTAAAAAATTATAATATGTAATAGGATACTTATTGTATTTCATATCTACAATGTATAATGTCAACTTCTTATTTCAAAAAAATAAAATTTATGTTCTTTTAAATGTAAATTAATTGGGAGGAGCGAATAATTCTATTCTTGGGTTGCTTTTACAAAAACCAAAAACATGGCAGAATCCGATGATGATTCTTGTAGCCAATAGATATCATCATCAGTATGACTGTTGTAAATATTGCTTAGTCGCAAAATATCTCAATGAAATATTAAAGGATTAAACGACTTTTTAAAGGAATTTATTGGTGTATAAACTGGACCAATTCACTCACAAACAAAGGACTTTTATGATATGTTTGTGAGTGACTTTGTCCAGTTAATACACCAATAAATTCCTTTACAAATGCGTTTAATCCTTATAATTCTTTAAAATGGAAGGTACGGAATTTAATTTCCCCACTCGTAAACTGTATCACATGTAAATTGGATATTTGTGTCATTGAAAAGTGTTGGCGCATGAATAAATGTTTTGGTTAACGCCAAAAAAAAAAAATGTACTCCATGAAATTTGCTATATGATAAAAAAAAAAACCACAAAAATAGCTTATTATCATTCCAATGAATGTTTTGTATTTATCATTTACTTTAACGATGAACTCGAAGTGAAAATAAAAATCTTTAACGTCGAACCGGTATGTGTTATTATCGCCGCCATCTTGTTTATATTGGTTACCAAAAGTAGTTACGTCAATGTCGTCTATCGAAGAATAAACAACGTCAAGAGTCACTACCGGAAGCTCTATCGACCAATCATATAATCGTATTCCCTAATATGCAAATCATATTAGAATTATGCTGTAATAGCCTATAGATTTCAAATGAACATAGATATACATTTTTTTCTCATATTTTCCGAACTTTTAACTTTAAGGTTTAATCGAATAACAGAAGAAGATGTAGAAATTGGTGGATATAAAATACCCAAGGGAACTGATATACAATTTCCAGTTTGTGCCATTCACAGAGATCCCGAGTTATGGCCTGAACCAGAGGTTTTTGATCCAGAAAGGTAAATATATGCACATCTTCATTGAACACAGAAAGGTATGTATAACAGATTTTAAGAATAGATTCTAAGGTCTTGTCGATGGTAAGTCATTCTAGAATTTCATTAAATTATATTGTACAGGTGTATGTTTTGGTAGAATATATCTATTATTATAATTATCAAATTTCCGTTGATGAATTAATGATTATTTAAATATTAGTCCCCTACCGACGAAGTCGAAGGGGACTTTAGGTTTGCACTCTGTCCGTCTGTCTGTCCGTCCGTCTGTCCATCCGTCAGTCCGGCAACTCAGCTTTCCACACTTTTTTTCTTCGTTCTTGAAGATATTGATTTGATATTTGGTATGTAGTTTTATCATGACAAGTTATAGATCAAGTTCGAATTTTGTTCCGGTCTGGTGATTTAGTCCAGAGTTATAAAAAACTCCATAACTAATGTTTGAGTACTATGTTAAACCATATAATTTTTTTTTATTAAGTGAAATCCTTTAATTAGATAATAATCTATTTTTATTAAGGTATATATTTCATTACATTACATTGTGTAGATAAAAGTTGTCGACATTTTATAGATAAGTTACAAATCTATATTAGTTTGTGACAAATGAAAGAAAAAATATTTGGAACTATTAATTATATTTAATTGTAATTTGAATATAGATATACATTGTATTACATCATATCTAATTTTAGAGAAATATTAATCATATCTAATGTTAGAGTGTTATAAGTTTTCCACACTTTTTTTCATCATGCTTGAAGATATTGATTGACAATTGGTATATAGTTTTATCATGACAAGTTACAGATCAAGTTCAAATTTTTGTTTCGGTCTGATAATTTGTGCAGAGTTATGGTCCTTGGACTTGAAAAAATTCACTCATATATTCAGTTTTCAACATTGTTTTTAGTCATGCTTGAAGATATTGACTTGATATTTTCTTTTTGTTTACACCATGACAAGTTATAGAACAAGTTAGCATTTTGTTCCAGTATAGTGAATTTTTACCCGGTAGGGGACTATGTATTGCCATGCAATACTCTCAGAATGCTTGTTCTTTTGGTAATATAGCTCTTCACTTGTTTCGGTTCTAACACATCCAAATATTTGGTTTTTGGAGCCTGCCTTCCTGGTGAAGTTGCACTCAGGAAAGCGTGTCTGCCGCATAAAAGTTCAGTGTTATTTTTTATTTATTTTGAATACCATTATGTTAGCATTTGATTGAATAATACTTGCTGATTGAATCATTGCAGCATTATAACATACATTCTTAAATATCGTTAGAAAAACGTTTGATTGTACATACGGATTCTAAATATAAATGTTATCAAAATCACATTAATACTTAATAGGTTCACACCCGAAAACAAGGAGAAACGTCACCCATATGCGTGGTTACCATTTGGTGTTGGTCCTCGTAATTGTGTTGGTATGAGACTAGCACTTACAGAAATTAAAATGGCTGCTGTTACCATAGTACAAAATTTTACCGTTGTAAGATGTGATGAAACTGAGGTACATATGTGTTGTTCTTAGTTGTATATGTTTTATTACATAACGAAGTCAGTTATTGCATTTTTGAGTGGTTTCAAGATATAACATTTTGTTAATTCAGTATTTAATCCATTTTGCTAGAAAACGATCCGAAAGACTTTTTTCTCATTATTTGCTTTATATTTCTATATTTTTGTTCTGTAATACTTAAGGATTTGAGAAAATCTTCATATTGGAAGAACTTTGATTCAGAAGTATTGTTTTTAATTGAACTTCAAATAAAATGCTATGTATAAATAAACTTAGAAAAGTAATACATGTTAAAGACACAACAACCCATAAGAGAACAAAAATGGTAGAAAAAGTAAAATCACAAAAATACTGAACTCCGAGGAAAATTCAAAAAGGAAAGTCCCTAATCAAATGGCAAAATCAAAAGCTCAAACACATCAAACGAATTGATAACAACTGTCATATTCCTGGCTTGGTAATGGCCTTCTAGAATAGATAAGTGTTTATAAAACATGTCAAGCTCAACTCAATATCGCCTAGGATATTAGACAAAACCAATACCCGACTACGTTTTATGTCATTTTTTATAGGTCCCAATCACATTTCACAAAGGTGGATTTATCAAAGCACAGAATGGTATTAAACTGAAATTGGAGAAGAGATAGATTGGTATTTGTAAATGGTAACAGTGTGTTGAAGAAGAGTTAGACTGACATTTGTAGATGGTTATAGTGTTATATATATATATCTAATGTCTCAATTATACCGTAGAACTTTTACATACTTTTATCGTATCGCTTGTGATAACTGAAGTCTTTAAAATCAATAAAGCCAACTTACAAATTGTAGTATTTATGTAGTAAGTATTAAGAAGTAATGCTCCAAATAACAATGATATACAAAAACAGAATCCCTTTTAACCAGTAAAAACAGTTAAAACAGTTTAAGAACAAAAAAAGTTAACGCAAATCGCTTATGGTATGTTTAAAACTACATCTGATAGGTTGATATAACCACGCAAATTGAGATGGTTCAATTCTCCATCGGGCTGCTTTAAGATGTTATCATTCTTTTTTTTTTTTGCTTTAGAAAGAATTCAATTCTAACATTGTTTTGTATAATTTATGAATTTTAGTCTTCAGATAATCTCATGCTTTAAGAATAAGAGTAACAATAGTTCTTCACAATATAAGATGATGTGAAGGTTACACCGTATACGTAAGGACGAGATAAACAAAAGTTATAATAGTGTATACAAGGGAACTCAAAACTCATCATAGAACAGCATATTATATTGTTATCAAACCACGAATCGTTGTCCCCGTTTTACAAGGGAAAAATATTGGAATTTGAAATAGATGGGGGGATCTTAATTAAAATTGATAGAATTTTTTGATGATTTGTTATAATGTTGTTCATATCATGCTTTTTTCAAAAACACAATTTAAAATATGGGTCACTGAGATTTTTTTTTGAGCTACAGGTTGTGTAAACTGTCAGATTTTGTATAAATTATAAATGCAAAACACAATTTTATAAACGGAAAATTTTAGAATAAAATATGATGAGAAGATAACTCTTATAATTTGCTTTCATTAGATAAAAGAAAAAAAAGAAACTAATTGCTCTTATTATGCCATCTCCTTTGAAAATTTAAACGAATTTAAATATAGAATCCTTAAAATTCTGGCATCTTGGTAAGGTATATTTATACAATATGCTTTAAATATATGGCTCGTTCAGGGAAAGTCTGCTTCAATCTCATTGGCCGTTATGTGACTTAATATCGCGGTCAATGGTATATACATGATGTAAAAACTACTTAAACAAGAGGCAACATTTGCTTACCGATGTTCAAAATTCGTATCTATTTTGAATGCAAAAAAGAAAAAAAAAATTGTAAAAAAAGGAATTGTATGAATTCTATACAGAGCATGCATAAATCACCCGCCACGCGAATCCACCCATCAAGTAATAAACTGTTATCATAGAGATATGTCTCGATTTTTTGTAATTTTGATTATGCAAATGTTGAAATTAAAATGGCAATACTTAACAAGTTAGGCTAATATTCAAAGTCAATGAACCATGACTGAGGTACATGGCTTCACCATCTCCATGTAAATTAGATGCGCCAATGATAATACAACTGCATACCAAATATCATTGACTTATTACAAGTTGTTCCCTTTAAACAAACCTAAACACAAACGTTAACTTGTAAACTATGTAAAAGTTTCAAAGTCAATGAACCATGAAGAGGGGGTCGAGCTATATAATCTCCATGGAAACGATACTTACAAATGCCAATAAATTTGCATCTCAAATATCATTGACTTAACATAAACAGTTCATCTTAAACTGATCTTATCACAAACTAATACATGTAAACTAAGCAAAATTTTCAAAGTCAATCATGGAAATGAGATATGCCAATGCTTATACAACTGCATACCAAATATCATTGACCTACCACTAATGGATCCTCATTAACTGACCTAATCACAAACTAATACATGTGAAATAAGCAAAAGTTTCAAAGTCAATAGACCATGACTGAGGGGACAAGGTCAAATAATCTCCATGGAAATGAGATGCGCCAATGCTAATGCAACTGTATACCAAATATGATTGACCCACAACTTGTGGTTCACCACAAACTAGACCTAATCACAATCTGAGTTTTGTATAATGTAAATGCAGAAATTAAAGGTCAATGCAAGGTCATGGTCAGTTTGATGCTTCTTCGTACTAAGTTTTGTCAATCTAAGTGGTACGGTTCAAAATTCATGCTCCAAACACAAATCAGACAATATGTTAATATCATAGGGGCCAAAGTTCAATTCCTGACTTTGTTGTGATGTTACACTATTGTTTCAGATAAGGGTGAAGGTTTGGTACCATTAAAACGTTTAAACCAGCTGCAATTTTTTACACCTGTCCTAAGTTAGGAATCTGATGTTCAGTAGTTGTCGTTTGTTGATGTGGTTCATAAGTGTTTCTCGTTTCTCGTTTTTTATATAGATTAGACCTTTGGTTTTCCCCTTTGAATGGTTTTACACTAGTAATTTTTTTGGCCCTTTATAGCTTGCTGTTCGGTGTGAGCCAAGGCTCCGTGTTGAAGACCGTACTTTGACCTATAATGGTTTACTTTTATAAATTTTGACTTGGATGAAGAGTTGCCTCATTGGCACTCATACCACATCTTCTTATATCTATTTGATATATGACACACCCCAAACCCTTGATGTATCAGCTTACCAAGTTTGGTCAACCTAAGTTATATGGTACGAAAGTTATACACAGGACACAAATCGGACAAAATTAAACTATCATAGGGTACAAAGGTCAGAGTGACCTGAATTTGATATATGACACACCCCAAGACCATGATGCCACTGCATACCAAATTTGGTTAACCTAAGTCTTACGGTACAAAAGATATGAGCTGGAAGCGAATTTGATAAGGGTTTACTGTCATAGGGGTCAGAGTCAAGGTCAACATTATTTATATGGTCCTAGAAAATTAAATATAATCTGAACCAAATTTAGATGTTCGGCTTTTTTCTTGATTTGTGACTTAATAAGAGCTAACAGTATATCTGATCCATCATGTAAATGTGGATTGGATATTGAGGACATGCGCTATTTTTTCGTTGATTGTCCTTTCTATTGAAATGAAAGGGCTATTCTGTTTAATAGTCTCAGCTAGCTTCCTGAGGGCTGCAATTTGGACTTAAATTTTGGAAAAAAAACTCATTCCTATGATCGAAATGAGCAAATTGTTAAACAAGTCTTAAATTTTATAAAGAATAAAGATTCCTCGTGGTATAATATCAACATAGGTAAAACGCACATCATCATCATTATCATCATCATCTTATTCTCTGTCGTTCTCTCTTTATCCCCTTTCCTTTTTTCGGTATAGTTTAGTAATATTTATGTTGTTTATATTACATAATGCATGCTCCCATTCAATTTGTATTGTTGTATATACTGTATTGTGGAGAAGACTTCGTCAGTATGTTTACTTGTGTCTGATTTTTTTTTGCTTTGAGCAAATAAAATATGTTTAAACTAAGTCAAGGTCAGATTGATCTGACTTTGGTGTGTGACACACCCCAAGACCATGATGCAACTGCATACCAAGTTTTGTTAATCTAATCTTTAAAGTACAAATGTTGTGAGCCAGACACAAATTGGATAAGGTTTATACTACCATAGTAACCAAAGGTCAAAGTCAAGGTCAGAGTGATCTTACGTTAAGATGTGACACTTCCCAATCCCATGATTCAACTGCATACTAAGTTTGGCTATCCTTAGTTTAACGACACAAAAGTTATGAAACGGACACGAATTGTACAAGCTTTGCATAGGGTTCATAGGTCAAAGTCAAGGTCTGAGTGACCTGACTTTAGTATATGACAAACACCCCAGCCCGTGATGTAACTGCATGCCAAGTTTGGTTAACTTTAGTCTTACGGTACAAAAGATATGCACCGGATACGAAGCTTTGTTTGCGGGGAGTATAATAAAACCGATAGGGATATTAAACAAGCTACGGGTGCCACATGTAATTTTAAAGGAAGCACTGATTTCTATCATACACAATGGTCATGATAATTATTACAAGTCAAAACGACCAAAATTGAAAGTCGACTCCTTATTAAAGTTGATGCCCTTTAATAACGATTTTTCCCATGTTTGCCTTCTATCTTGAAACCTGTAATAGATACATAGAAACTTTAAATAGCACAAACGATCAACAAGACAAGATCTACAAATAAACCAATAGGTTCGAAATCTTTAGTCGACTCGTTATTGGAGTTATTGCCTTTTAATGATATTTGTTTCCATTGTTTTGAATTTTTGCCTGTTATCTTGAAAACTATCATAGATAGATAGAAACTTTAGAAAGGAAAAATTATCACCAGGATAAGATTTACAAATATGTCATCATGACTGAAATTATCAGTTAATCCTTAGTAGAGTTGTTCCTCTTTAATGATGATTTATTTTTTTACTAAAAAAAGTAGCCATTGTTAAACATGCTGGTGATCGACACAGGCTCTTTAGAGCCTCTAGTTTAAAGTCGGCATGTGATAGGATTATCATGAAAAATAAACGTTTAAAAACAACGATGAACTACACATGGTCCGTAAACCCTGACTTGGTACAAACACAAAATGTGGTGGAATTCAACCAATTTAACATGTGCACTAACTTCCCCTCTATTTATCTAGACCATATGGCATAAGGATAAAACACATAGTGCAGTTACTAACAGGATAACCACTAACTTGAAAATGTAGCAATAGACGACACGTTATTTGGAAGGCAGGGTCTAAATGTGATTCTTCTACCAGGAAACTAGCTACAGTAACCACAGTTATTGGTTGAATACTGCTGTGGAAAATTAAAAAAAACAGAAACAAGGCAAACAGGTTTTTTAAAGTCTCTTAATTTCAATTTAAATCCTCACTTGCTTTTGCTTTAGTTTTTAGTGTTGTACTTTGTGCTTTAATTTTTTGAATATCTGCGATGTTTATATTGGTAACAGTCTTGTCTCTCCTTTGTCATGAAATTTGTTTCAATTACAAAATTTCACATTCGGTCAAGTTTCAGGGTTAGAAAATTTACGTGACCGTTAGTTTATGAATTTAGTGATGTTCTTCGGGTAAGATAAGAGTCAATCACAAATCATCTGCTATTGCGTGATGCATCAGCACTTTATATAACTTATCAACATATTTTATAGGAGTAACACTAGGGGTGTCACATGTGGAGCAGGATCTACTAGTTTTTCTATATTATTTTTTGTATACTGTTATTTGTCTTTGGTCCTTCTCTATGTTTGCCATGACGTTCTCAGTTTATATTTGACCAATGAGTTTGAATGTTCCTTAATTTGGTATCTTTCGCCTGTCTTTTATTTATGAGGGAACCGTAAGCATTTTAGACTAGCTGACTAGAAATACTAGGAAAAGAAAGAACCTATTTAACTGAATAAGTAAATATAAAAGTAAGAAGAAGATGTGGTATGATTGCCAATGAGACAACTATCAAGCCTCTAGTCCTTGCTGGTAAAGGATATAAGATCTATCCAAGTTTTAGATAAAAAATTATTTTGCAATGTATATAATTGCATTACAGTAGAAGGTAGGTCGACAAATACTTTCTCATATGATATGGCTAGAGGCACCTGTAAGTTTCAATTATTCCATTTATTCAAATGCATTTATGTCTGAAAAATAGATAACATTGACTGAGTTTTTATTGAGCTGAAGTTCCTTGGGATAAATGTATTTCGCATGTTTAATGATGTAATAAGTTAGTAATTCCTAGAGTGATATGATGGGAAGAAAATGTCCAACTTCCAACTGTTGACCTAATTACAGCCCTAGGACTAAATAAAAATTCATTAATGTATCAGATATTTGGTTTTAGTTTATACTGCCAATTTGATGTTAAAAATTACGTACGAGTTTGAAACTTCATGCTGTTGTCTTTGTGATTATATGATACACATCATACTACATGTAGATTTATGTAAACAAAATAATCAGATGTTCCTGTTCTTTTTCTATTATCCATCCAAACATTAATAAAATCTGATGAATTCTGTTGATTGATATGCAACTCAGTGTATTATATAAAGGCTTATCACTACAATTTACACATATGCACAGTACATAAAATCATGAATTAGTTAATCTCTCAAAACTCCATTGAGGAATGTAGAGAACAATGTAATACTGCTTTGCTCTACAAAATATAACATATTCATTATTACATTTAATACTTATATTTATCACCTGTGTAAAAAATTAACTATAGATAAGTCTGAGCCTACAGCGTTTTATTCATATAACAGATAATGTTTAAAAACATTACCAAGGTTACAAACAGTATTAGAGGCTATAGATCAAAATGGACTGACATCAGACCAGAAAAGGTACACAAGCTACATACAAAGATATAAAAAATGTTTA